TTTCAATCAGACGCTTAGTTGTACACTCATACGCTGAACACAAGATAACGCTGCGTTCTTACTTAACAATCTCACATGTTGACCAATGCAAATATAAACTTAATGAAAGATTCACAAAACGTGAGCCCTTAAAATAATGCCGCTTTTATATTCGTGCGTAGTACGTCAAGATGCGTAGATTATGGACTATTTAAGTCAGTAATTGTTTACTAGACAAATAATGGAATTGAACTGGATGAAACCTACACAATAGAAATAAAATGTATAAAATGGAAGACAAAAAAACTTGAAGAAGTTCTGCTGAGAAAGCAATGATAAATTTTGCTAATGTAGGCTGGGTTTTCTGTTCATGAAATATCGAGGAAATGTAGTCTATATTTTGTTGATGAGCTGTAGTATAGGTCTTTTGTTCATCAAGTATTGTTGAAATGTAGTTTATATTATATATATTATATATATTATATTTATATTATAGGTCTTTTGTTCATACAGTATTGAGGAATTGTAGTCTAGATTTTGTTGATGAGGTGGAGTACTGGTCTTTTGTTCCTCAAATATTGATAAAATGTAGTCTAGATCTTGTTGATGAGGTGTAGTATACTAGTATAGGTCTTTTGTTCATCAAATATTGATAAAATGTAGTTTATATTTCGTTGGTGAGTTGTAGTCTGGGGTTTCTTTTCATTAAGTATTGAGGAAATGTAGTTTATGTTTCGTTGATGAGGTGTAGTCTAGGTTTTCTGTTCATTAAGTATTGAGGAAATGTAGTCTATATTTCGTTGATGAGTTGTAGTATAGGTCTTTTGTTCATTAAGTATTCAGGAAATGTAGTTTATATTTCGTTGATCATTTGATGGGGTGTTGTCTAGATTTATTGTCCATAAAGTATTGAGGAAATGTAGTCTCAATCAATTGTGAATACAATTTGTTCATGATACAGTAGATTATTAATAAAAAAAAATTCTAAATGAAATGTATTCTTTCTTTGTTGTTTCTTATGGAGTAAAAAGAAATAAAAAAGAAGAACAGAGAAACAATATCATGGTCGACCCCAGGAACTTATACAGACATATAATTAAACTCCTGGAGGTAATTCTATCCACCAATGACTTATATATAATTAGTTCAATAAGTTGTTACCGCATGTAACAAACAAATTCTTGAACTATTTTTTAAAAACATTCTCACGTTACCTTTATAAAAAATTCTACAAAATAGACCAATGAATAAAAGGACAATCGAAACAGATGAATTATAATTTGAGAGCAATAAATTGGTAAAGAAGAAATGTAAACAAAGTAAAGACCCTAAAACAACAAACTCACAAAGTTGTATTTACCCCAAATTTTAAAATAAAATTAGACTGTTGCACACTGTTTCTAAACTCCACTAATTTAATCATTTTAATAAAAATGATTAAAAGTTCAGCAAGTGTTAAAACGCACAAACAAAAACAAATCCTTTGCGTTTACCATTTTTGTTTATTCATTTTTCTGTTCTGTGAAAGAATTAAGACACAAATTTTTTAATGTTTACAAAAGATGTTTCAATCTGTCTTACTTATTTAGGCTCTATCTTTTGATATTTAGCTTTCTTGCGTGCAAAATGTCCTGGCAAGTTGCAAAACAAGATTGGTGCAAGTTTTTTTTTTCTTTACCATCGACCTTCTGGATGTTTTTCAAAATTTGTTTTTAACTTTAGCTGTCACGTGTTTTTTTTTTCTTATTGTGGTATCTAGTTTACACATACAACTTACAAAACGTGGGGGTGGGTAAAAAAAATAACAGTTACGGTTTTCTATTGAAAAAAAAAAGTATACTTTTATGTAAATCAACATCACCTCTGCGCGAAACGCCTAGAGGTCAAAGTGAAGCGTAGAGGTGAGCCGAGCGTCCTTTACGGGCTGGTGGTTTGACCTAGTGAAGGGGACGTAAGTCGTTACAAGGGGAGGCAAGAACTCTAGCCCTGGGATATTAGATAGGAAAGCGTAATTATTCAGCATTTCGTTGAACCCATGGATCTGGTTTAAGCTGGAAAAATAACTCAAGGCTGGGTTAATGTGGCTTTAGGGTAATCTTTTTAATGCATCACTTGCAATTTTTTTTTCTATCGTTCCCACCCTTGATAGAGAGATTTTGTTGGTTATTAACTGATGGAGCCTGTTTTTTTTTTCTTTTTCTTTTTGGCGTAAAATAGCCGGCTAGTTGAGGGTAGCTGAGTTACGAGCTTTCCTTAATTATGGGTTTAATTTTATTTCTGTGGAGTTTTCGAAGCAGCTTATGTAACACAAAAGTAAAGTTCGTGTTATTGAATACAAACGTAAACATAATAAAGCATATTCTTTTATTTAGGTTATCTCTCTTTATCAAGAGTTATTTCCCATTGTCATATTCGTTTATAATTTTTTTAATTAAATTTTTTATGAAAATTAATTTAAGTTTTTAAAGACATTTCCCATTGTCATATTCGTTTATAATTTTTTAAATTATATTTTTTATGAAAATTAATTTAAGTTTTTAAAGACATGAACGTGGATCAGATTTTTCAATATCCTGTTTACTTCGCTTTTTTTTTTGTTTTCAAAAAAAATTTCTATCGAACTTTAAAAAAAAAAAAGGATGTTGTGAATTTAAAAATTTCACACAAAACATCTCAGAAAAAAGATTTTTCGCTTCAGTGTCTGTGATGCTCCAATTCATTTTTTATTTAACTTTAATTCTTTCTTTTGTTTTCACCTTTTAAAGGTTTTAATTAATATATTTTAACAATTTTTTCTTGCAGAGGTGCGTCCATTTTGAAACTTGCTTTTCACTGTTTGATACTTTTAAAATCTAAGTCATTTCGTTTTCCTATTTGACAAATTTAGGGTTATTAAAAACTATTATTAAAAACTATATGTCGATTATCTGAACAGCGTTACTTTGTTACGAGGTCAGAATAATCGTTTCAATATGTGTTATTAAGGCTAGAGAGGAATTTTTTTTTAAAATCATGAACAGTTAAAAAAAAATCAGAATTCAAATATGCTTTCTTACTACCACTCCAAAATAGTTTAAAAAAAATAATTATAAAATGGATCTTTTAAATAAAAAACTTATAGTAAATTAACTGTGCACAACGTAATGAACAAGTAATTAATTAACGCGTCAAATGTCCACTCAAATTTTAGCATGTCTCAGATTGTTTTCTTTTAAGTCTAACTGCGTGCTGTTAAGGTGGTTTGGTACCACTGCTTAAAACAAACACAATAAACAATTACCAACGTGGTTTAATTAATAATTGTCATTAATTAAATGCAACAAGTAGCTGTACTGATTATAGAGGATTGTGTTATCAAAATTATGTTGTTTTGGTGTTTTTTTAATCTCTGAAGAACAAATATTGCAGGTTGTTTTATTATTTGTTTTAAAAAACTTTGGGAAAAAATTTCATCATTTTTTTTTGTTGTTTTTTGGAGGGGGGGGGGGGTGGGGTTTATGAATTATAATAAGGACACAGATTACCTAACCTATTTCTTTCTTCTTTTTTTGTGATGACCGTTTTCTTCGAAAAAGAAAGAGTGACAGGGGAGGTAACAAAGTTAAACTAAGTGGCACGCTTCTACCTCCCGTTGTATAAATAAACTTGGTTAAAAAATATTTCCGAGGAAGTTTTGCATAAAGTTTCGTCTTTTACTGTGTGGTTATTTTAATGTGTTTCCTTTGAATGTATAATAAATATGAGAAGCCAAAAGTAATGGATCAGCCATGTAGTCCATATCAGGATAATCCACCCTCGTTCGTGCTCCAGAAATTTCTCGAACTTTTCGTCTAATTTGAGGCTGCTGACGTGTCGTACTTAGAGAATGTTGTCTATCATATGCATGACTAACAACCTACCCTGTCGGCTTGCTTTCATCTAATTCCTTTTCTTCTGAATGGCCGTGACGTAGTGAGGACACTGATGGGGTTTTGGTATGATGTCACCAGTGACACCGGGTAGCAAAACAAGGTACCAAACAAGGTAGCACAACAGGGTAGCATTCGGATTGGCTCAAAGTGCCGTGGTATGCAAAACTGAACAGAATTCGACGCATTTATGTCATTAATAGTCATCCACGCTAAATTTGACATTCGCCATCCACGCTATACTTGACATTCGCCATCCACGCTAAATTTGACATTCGCCATCCACGCTAAATTTGACATTCGCCATCCACGCTAAATTTGACATTCGCCATACACGCTAAATTTGACATTCGCCATCCACGCTAAATTTGACATTCGCCATACACGCTAAATTTGACATTCGCCATCTACGCTAAATTTGACATTCGCCATCCACGCTAAATTTGACATTCGCCATCCACGCTAAAGTTGACATTCGCCATCCACGCTAAACTTGACATTCGCCAGTTCTTCTGCTCATCGTGTTTCATGAGTATTCAAAGCCCAGCACTGCAACCCAGTGGATGTCGCCTGAATTATAGAGGGAAAAAATCACAAAGTCCCTTTTCACAGACGCACGAAGTCTCTATCAACAGACTCACAAAGTCCCTATGAACAGACTCACAAAGCCCCTTTGCACAAACCCACAAAAGCCCCTTTCAAAGACACACAAAACGCCTTTTCCAAATATCCACAATCCTGAAAAATAAGCAGAAAATGGTGTTGCAGTGTCCTATACTCTCACCAACCTTGTTGAAAAATGCTCTCTGTAGGTAGGCTACTGTTTTTATACCCATTATTGGTTAATACCACCCCACCCAGTTCATTGCATCCCGTAATTCTTCATTAATTCCGTCTTAATTAACACAACAATCACAACTCCCATTAACTGTGTTTGTGGCCAACAGATTCGTGCCCATTATCTTTTGCTACAAATCAACTATAGTACATATAACATTTTCATCATTCCCATAAAAAGGACAAAGCAAAACTTATTTGACAAATCATTTTAGAAAAATAAAAAATAATAACCTCATTTATTTAAGAACCAGCTTTTATTGATGCAATAAAAATAAGAAAATAAAAAGCACCGATATTAATATTTTAAAAATTATAATCAAGTTATAATTAGTAAATCATCAGTAGCTGGTCTCATGCTAGTTATTGGAATAAACATTTCTGTACTGGTTCCCTTCTTTTGGAATTTGCTTTGCTGATCTTAAGCATCCGGGGCCTTTGTACTGATCAAAGGGGTTCCTGTGGCCTCATGGCTTTTCTCAGCAAAAGATAGCGTTGTATCTGTGAAAATAACGATGCTTTCATTTAGAATTTCTATACAAATCAGTGGGGTTAATAACTGGTCCCACGCCAACTGTTTGGTATTCGGAGAGTTTAAACTTTAAACTGATTGGACAATAACGATGGAGCACAATAATATTACTCCAATCAGAGCTGGGTGGAATTGAGAAAGTCAGGTACTCATTAGAGCTGGGTGGAATTGAGAAAGTCAGGTACTCATTAGAGCTGGGTGGAATTGAGAAAGTCAGGTACTCATCAGAGCTGGGTAGAATTGAGAAAGTCAGGTACTCATTAGAGCTGGGTGGAATTGAGAAAGTCAGGCACTCATTAGAGCTGGGTGGAATTGAGAAAGTCAGGTACTCATCAGAGTTGGGTAGAATTGAGAAAGTCAAGTACTCATTAGAGCTGGGTAGAATTGAGAAAGTCAGGTACTCATTAGAGCTGGGTAGAATTGAGATAGTCAGGTACTCATTAGAGCTGGGTGGAATTGAGAAAGTCAGGTACTCATCAGAGCTGGGTAGAATTGAGAAAGTCAGGTACTCATTAGAGCTGGGTAGAATTGAGAAAGTCAGGTACTCATTAGAGCTGGGTAGAATTGAGAAAGTCAGGTACTCATCAGAGCAGGGTGGGATTGAGAAAGTCAAATACTTATAAAAGCTGGATGTCAGAAGTCATAAGTAATCGAGCTCGATATATGAACTTAATTTTTTACGCATTCAAACTTTCTACCACAACATAGAACAAGAAAGTTGGTTTCTGTTTATTTTTGTCTTCCCCCCCCCCCCCCGGTTCAGTATTTAACAAGTAACTCATTAAGTTGTCTCTATATAAGGTTTGGTCGCCATTAGGATTTAAATATTCCGAAAATAAAATCTGGGGTGTGCGCAAGCAGTAGAAACTGATGTGGAGGGAATTGATAAAGACAAAGAGGATGAGACAGACATGTTTTAGGACGACATATAAGATAAACACTGTGAAGACAGACTTTACGCGTGAGTAGGCCGACAAACACGGCAAAGGGAAACATCACTATAGCTAAAGAAAGCAGACGGCCACTGCATAACCAGACGAGAGCATATGCCGCAGCAATCAATACATACCAACACGTGAGGGCCACTGACTAATCCACACACGTGCCCAGGCTATTTATAGCCCAACACAGACCTGTGTTGTTTACTAGTTTGATAGCAACAATTTTTTTTTGTGTTGGCATGCACCGTGTTGGTGTGAAGTATAGGCATCTAAATGAGATACGTTGGCTGTTACACGTTTTAGGCACGTGACACTATCTCAACAGCCTCCCTCCCCCTCCCTCATTTGCCTCGACTCTTGGGTTCGGGAAGATAAATGTACTAATTTATAGTACAAGAAGAGAACAAGTGGTACATTACTGAGCAGAGGCGTAGCGAGGGGGGGGGGGGCGGTGCGGACCGCACCGGGTGACACAATTTAGGGGGTGACACCAAGGCAAAAAAGAAAAAAATATAGAGAAAAACTTGAGGGGGGGGGGGTGCAAATCGAAAGATTGAAAGGGGGGGTGCAAATCGAAAGTTTGAGGGGGGGGGGGGGGGGTGCAAATAAAAAAATTGAAAGTTTGTCCCCGGGAAGGGTCGCTACGCCTCTGGGGGGGTGACACCATTAAGTGCCGCACCGGGTGACACCCGACCTCGCTACGCCACTGTTACTGAGTATAAGGGAAGGGGGGGGGGTGAAAGTTGATGGTCATTTTTTAAATTATTTATTTTATGAGCGATAGAAAAATAGAACCAGAGGCAGTGTGCGGGGGGGGGGGGGGGTTAAAAGTGTGATGGTCAAAAAAAAAAAATTAAATGAATGACCGTGATTCAGCCAATGACAGCGTTTGTTTGATTTGAAGAGTCCAATGTCTACCTCTTACATACCTGGCGACCATAGATTGACGGGTCAATTGGTCAAGACGGCTGCGGGTGACGTCAATTGTCTATCTCGTGCATCGTTCCAATGACCCGAACCTGCAGAGATGTGAGACAAAAAAAAACACATCAGCTGAAGCCCTCGGTCAAGACGTGTGATCACGAGAGTTGGTCATCTGTTGAGTAGATGGTGATGGGGGAGGGGATGGTTGGGTGTAGAAGGATTCTTAGTGTAGTTGTGTATTTTAGAAATGTGAACTACATAAGTAATGTCTTAGCCGCACGGGCAATATCTTATCGTCTGAGGTGAACGTCCTAGTGGCAAATACATTATTTATTTTAACCTGCGTTTTTAATGCGTTTTAGTAACAATAGAAGCTGAAGTTCTCGAAATATATATATATATATATATATATATATATATATATATATATATATATATATATATATATATATATATATATATAGCCTATATGTATTTATAGATCGAGCCCAGCTAAGTGGCGACCATGAACCGGTCGTGTAGTATAGGCCAACTAACATCTCAATGTCCAACATCACCAGGCGCTGTTTTTTAACCTCCCATCGCCTACTATAATATCCCTACACTCAATGACAATGTACCTCAACTACGGTCTATCACCCTCTTGACACATAAAAAAACACGCAGATAACAATTTTTATTTTACTTTAAAACTCTCTTCCCCTATCGTGTTATGCGCTGATAACAGAAAATCTGATAAAGGGGGTGTGTTATGGTCGGTCTATTTACCGTGTCAATGAAATAGTGATAATGACAAATAAATTTATAATAGTGGGTACCGGTGAGTGTTGCAGTATGATACGGGACATTACATGGATCATATTCTAAAGATGTTTGTTGAGCACGGGTATTTTAACTTTAAATACGCCATACTTTATGTTGAAGTCGAATTATTCAGGCTAGATACCCGCCTATGAAAACTATGAAATGGCCATCGTAAACTCAACATTTTAGACAAGTAAAGCTACAAATAGCCTCCGCCCCCGCCTCCTACATCATAATCATGTACAGTCATATCCTAAAATAGAGGCTGATTTTCCTATTGTGGATAAAACTATACCCAATCATCGCAACATGGTAAACCCATTACAATTTAAACAAGACCGCCTCCAATCAAACGTCTTAACTCAAACATCGCGACAGACTAATCCACTATCAAACAAAGTCCTGTCCGACCAGCTAGCCGGTGTTGCCGACGTTTGAGAAGCGGCGCCGTCTTGGCTGCGGTACTTGACTGGTCAAGCTGGCTCAAGGCCCGGGGTCGTGCTCGGACAGGGCCTGGGGCTACCCGTTTAAGACAAAAAGTAAATCAATGGAAATGACCAGTAATAAATCTATGGAAATGACCAGTAGTAAATATATCAAAATGACCAGTAGTAAATATATCAAAATGACCAGTAGTAAATATATCAAAATGACCAGTAATAAAGCTATGGAAATGACCAGTAGTAAATATATCAAAATGACCAGTAGTAAATATATCAAAATGACCAGTAATAAATCTATGGAAATGACCAGTAGTAAATATATCAAAATGACCAGTAGTAAATATATCAAAATGACCAGTAGTAAATATATCAAAATGAACAGTAGTAAATATATCAAAATGACCAGTAGTAAATCTATGGAAATGACCAGTAATAAATCTATGGAAATGACCAGTAGTAAATATATCAAAATGACCAGTAGTAAATATATCAAAATGACCAGTAGTAAATATATCAAAATGACCAGTAGTAAATATATCAAAATGACCAGTAGTAAATCTATGGAAATAACCAGTAGTAAATCTATGGAAATGACCAATAATAAATCTATGTAATGACCAGTAATAAATCTATGGAAATGACCAGTAGTAAATATATGGAAATAATCAGTAATAAATCTATGCAGAGGCGTAGCGAGGGGGGGGGGGGGGGCGGCGGGGGACATATGTCCCCGGGCGCCGACCTTAGTGGGGGCGCCAAATCGAAAGTTTGAGGGGGGGGGGGGGGTGCAAATGAAAAGTTCGAGGGGGGGGGGGGTGCAAATCGAAAGTTTGAGGGGGGGTGCAAATGAAAAGTTCGAGGGGGGGTGCAAATCGACAGTTTGTCCCCGGGCGCCGGGAAGGGTCGCTACGCCTCTGAGTCTATGAAAATGACCAGTAGTAAAACTATGAAAATGATTTGTGGTAAAATCTATGGAAATGACCAGTAATAAATCTATGAAAATACAGTAGTAAATCTATGAAAATGAACAGTGTTTGTTATTAAAATGATCATTAGTAAGTCTCTGTGAAAACTGCAATTAGTGAATCCAAAAATCCGGTGCACTTGTTGGGACAATATTCAGTAAAATAACCCGTGCCGAAAAGGTTTAATGAAGAAATTAATTTTTTAATTTTTTTTAGAGATGTTTCATTCATACCCCCCCCCCCCCCCTCCTTCCCTACCTCCCATACTAATACGGAAACCGTTTTTTTTTAATATTACGGTGGCTAAGCTTATTGAAATTTAGATTTACAATAGCTCATTCATATTCTGGTTATCGTAAACGTGTTAAAACAATATAGGCCTATTTTTGGTCGCTAATTTTTTAGCGCTAGCAATGCTCGCCAAAACCGTAGCTCTTAGCAGGGGCCCGACAGACAAACAATCAGGAAGCGATACTGTACTGTTATGTCGGCGTTTTCATAATTATGAGACTAGCTAAATTTATTGTATACACATATTTTTATAAAGTTGGGATTGCAATTATTAAATTTTGGCCTACATCTTTAGTAATGATTGCTTCAGAACGATGTGATTTAATTATTTACGCGTGTGTTATACTTATAAAAATAAATAAATAAATGATCTTTTGAACACATTTTATTTCAGCTAGCTTGTCATTTTAAATGGCCAGCGTTCACACGAGCCAATTAGTGAATTGGGTCGGTTCATAATCGGCGCGCACTCAATACCCTATCGGTATATCTGCTGACCAAATTCTAAGAGTTGTCGAACTTGATGGCCTTGAACAAAGCGAGATTCTTTTCGTGTTTAAATTTAAATGGTGGATTTCTAGGGGCAGGGGGGGGGGGATATTCCAAGATGAGAATAAATTTGCATAAAAAATTACGCACTTTAATCTCGTCACTGATAATCCAACATTATTGCCGTATGCGTATAAAATGTTCACAATTAACGGCTAAATAGCAGTAGCCTAAACGTACGGAGAATTATGCGTACCGGTACTTCAACAACAAATGTAAAATAGACAACAGTTATTTAATGTCTAGGATTGAAAAGTTAAAAAAAAATTGAACAGTCTGGCTGAATTCATTAAGGCAATAGTTATGTCTATAACAGTATAAGATTTAAGTGTAAAATTAAAAAATTAATACTTTCCTTAAAAGTACATCAAAAAGTAGATATGCGGGTGTGCTTTTTACATTTTGTGGTTTTTCTTTATTAGGATAATTTTATTAAAAGTGGTGTAAAAATAATTAAAATACAGATGCCGACTATGAAATAAGTCTCCATAAATGTATGGGTGTCTAGTCTACTGCAGTGCTAGGCTTACTGATACTCACTGACCTTGTGATTTTTTTTTTATTGTTAATGAAGTTACGAACTTAAGTAGCCCGCCCCCCCCCCCCCCCCCCCCCCCCAAGTGCCATACACATTTTTAAGTTAGACTGTTCGGTTAGAAAACAAATAATTTGTCGGAACATAGGCCTATTTTTAAGGGGGAAATTAACCATATTTGGAAGTGACAAATTTTAACTTTGGCGAGGGATTCGAGTAGGTAACGATGTTTAGTAATTTTGTTTTCAACCTCAAGTTCAAGTTACACTCCACCTTTTCACCAAACCCGCGGCCATAAAGTAAAGTATTGTTGACAGTGGATTAGCCTAACCTACTCGTGTTTACATACGTATCAGCCAATGAAAAAGCAGCAGTAAATTTTCCTCGTTATTAGTCTTCAAAACGTGTTTACATAACTAAAAATATTATATTAAAAAATATATAACTAACCTTGCAAAAGTATGAACAAAATTTTATTTGCAAATAATTTCAATTAATTCATTCATTTACGATTGATTTCCTCGTGCTTGTGAAGTGGTTTGCGCAGTGCATTGTGGGATGTCGTATAAAAGGGTTTGACACGCCAAAAATTTTGTAGTTCATGGCGGACTGTCTATCAGGAATTTTCTCTTACTAACGAGTACCAAACCGAGTGTGAAGGTATGATTGCTGTGGGTACCGATCCCCAGGACCCCCAGCTTGCAACAACATATGATAATTTCCGAGGTACATCGTTGGGAGATGAGGTAAGAACGCTTTTCAATCCATTTGTTTATTTCAGTCGAGAGCTATTTTATTTGACGAGTTCAGTAAGTCGTGCCGTAACCTCACTTCTCTTGCCGTGTATTTTACATGAGACGGATCCTTCTGAGTGGCCATCCGCAATCCATATTATTATTTACATCATACATGATCTCAAGTACGCCTCACTTGTTTTCATTTCATGAAACGAAGTTACAAAATAATTGCCGTATTTAATTAGTTCTATTCACAGAACGACAATCGCGTTCCGGTCGAATAACCGATGTTGCAAAACCCAAATAGTGGGCGTCTCTAGCTTTTATAGACGACGGACGGCTAACTACAGGCAGCCAATCACGTTGCGAGTCCGGTAGCCAATGAGAATCGTCGAAGGGTTCACGATTGTTTGCCGTGTTGCTGATAAGAACCTCTCACGAGCTGTCAATGTAGCAGTTTAGCCTAAGCTAGCCTTAGCATACTCTGGGATCTGATTTTTTTTTCCGCGGGAGGTTTTGTTTTATTAGTAGGCCAAAGCTTTGCAAAGGGACTTAACCAGTTTTCCATGAGACTTTTATTATAATGGTATTCCTGCTGTTATTCCCCTTGCTAGAAATTAATTTATTCAGCCAGTACAAATATATTATCTTATTTAACTTTTTTGTTTTTTAAATAATTTTATTTTAACTATCATGTTTATTAGACACAGACTAGAACTATACATGCTAAATTTTAATAGTCCTCTTATATTTAATCCAGATTTGGCATATGATTAAAGTTTAATCAAGCTTTAAGTGAATAGGAAATGATTGTCTCTTAATTATGTCTTAATAACATTTAGACTACATTTTAATAACAGCATAAAACAAACTGAAAATTTTTATAAAATAGAACTTTTGTAATATCATAAGCTTTTTTTTTTACTCATGCAATAAACTTTAATTCATTATGTAACTTTTCACTTCAGACTTGGCATTAGTTTATGCTTAATGTACTTGTGTATTAGCTTTGTAAATAACTTTAAATGTTTTATTTCCTTCCTTTCAGTATCCCAAATTTAAATTAAAAAATCATTTGCTATTTAATCAGTTGTTTTTTTTTCTTTCTTTTCCAGTTGCCCTCCCTTAGTTACGATTTGGGCGACCTGAGCATCTCTTCAACGGAAATAGATCAATTCCTCCAAACGTTTAGCGAGCTCCCCGTAGCTCCTGATGCCCAGATGCATGTTGAAAATGAAAGCTCACACCTATCCCAGCTTGCAGCGTGTGACCTCACCTCCTTCTTCTTTGAAGATATTCAGAGACCTCATGATATTAATGTGTCACTGCCTGTGGAGCAGCAGCATGCTCAGACCATATTTGGCTATGACTCACATCAGATGTACTATCAGGAACTTACTGAAAATGTTACGCCACCCCACTCAGGCGGCGTCACCCCACAGAACATATCCCGGGCTGCCTCCCCCACGTGGAGTGAGAGCAGTGGGAGCATGAGCACGAGCAGCGTCTCTGGTCAAGCCAGCGCGGAGAAGCCAGCCGCCAAGAGCAACAATCCCATTCCAAGGCACAAGAGACCATCCCATAAGCGAGCGGAAATTAAACGTAGGGATAAAATCAAGGTAATATCAAGTTCTCATTACTATTGTTTTTGTAATCCTGCTTCTTGTCGTTTTTCCTTTAATAGTGTTATTCAGTTTGAGAATTATTAATTTATATATTTCACTCGATATACATAATGCAATTATCAATTTATATATTTCACTCTATATACATAATGCAATTATCAATTTATATATTTCACTCTATATACATAATGCAATTATCAATTTATATATTTCACTCTATATACATAATGCAATTAGCAATTTATATATTTCACTCTATATACATAATGCAATTATCAATTTATATATTTCACTCTATATACATAATGCAACTTTTTTCGTATTTTCAAACATCAGACATGTCTGGATGATATTAAAGAATACGTCCCATCCCTGCGAGACAAAGGAAAGCTCAGTGAATCTACCATATTAACAAAAGGTGAGAATAAACAGGTTTTCTTGGTTATTTGCTATGTTTAAGGTGTGTTTTACGGTCACTCTTTTGTCAGCTTCTTTATTTCAGACATGAGGTAAGCTACAGCACTGTGTTTCATTTTCCTTACAGGTTTTGTTTTTTGTATTTTAAACCCGGATAAGTTCTATCCGTGTTTTTATGTTAGTGGGTTGCTTGAGCTTAGCCCACTAATCCCATAAAATGTGGCACAGTTGCTGTATGTTTTTTTGCCATTTCTTGTAATTAGGCTAAGTATTTTATTACCATTTGTGTTTGGTAAGTTTCGGATGCTTGTTATTGTTACATTTTGTTGTGTGTTTGTGTACATTGATAAGATATATCGTGGATGCATTTCTCGTGGTCCATATTGTTAAGTTTGTTAGCTGTGCCCATATTAGAGGGGCACTTGACCCTTATTCTGACCAGTCTCCCTCTTTTAGCGGCTGAATATGTTCACCATCTGAAAGACGGTTACTTGGAGCGAGGGAACAAAGCAGCTGAACTCCGGCGGCAGATAGAATGTCTGAGCACAGAAATTCAGTAAGTTTCGATGTTGAGCGGGCTGGGCAAAGACACCCTCTCCATGCATCCACTCAACTGTGTGCTTTTTCAGCCTGTCTGCCACGTAACCTCTGCTTCCCATAATGCAGAGCAGGAAGTTTAGTGTAATCTGGTAGACCCATGGTAACTATCTGTGTGCCTAGTTGATTACAACTTAGCGCTACACTCTAAGCTGGTCAATATTCGGTATAGATTTTTCATTATATTTGTCTAGAAATTTATAAAATAACCAAGATGTAAACTAAAAACAAACAAGGTTAGCATGTATGTCTGTGTCTTATATATTTATATATTTATATCTGCTTTCTAAAACTAATACTGCAGAGTGGTGCCATACATTAAGTTTCTTGTTTTTTGTACTCCCCATACCCGTTTTTATTTTTGTATTTTTGATGAAACCAAAATTTTTTAGAAAATGATACTAAATTTGGACTAAGTACACTAAATATATGAAATTTGGTGTACAAGAATCTTGAATGTATGGCTCTCTGCAGTTTCGTGTTCTAACTACCACATTTTTTTTATTACAGGATAGTTCATGGAAATATAACAAATATATAAATTTTAATTGTTTACTATGCGCAATTTATATTTTATAATCTGTTATAATTACTTGATTTGATTGTATACCCAAGAAATTAACTAACTAATATTTTGAAATTTTTCTGATAATATTCAGGTACTGTAGCAGTAAGGTTTATTTTATAAATTTAACCAATGTCTTAACTTGTAGTATAAACATTTTAATGATAATTAAAGTAGGGTCTGTAAAAGTTTATACAGTCCTAGTTTTTGAAAAAAAAAATAACATAATTTTAGATTTATTTTCTTCTGAAAAAGTTAATTTCATTTGCTGTGCATAACAGCAAATTTTACCACTTTAGAAACTAATTGCTTGTATTATGTACAAGTAAATCAAAATTTTGATTTAGGCCTTAATTTGAAGATAAAACAGGCACTGAATAAACTTTTCTTCTATTCTCTCTATCCTTAGTTTCTTCAATGATCAAAAGAACGTACATAAAACAGTTGTTGTTCTTCTTTACAGTTCCTTCCAAGAAAATCTGCCTGCCACTGGTCTAAAGGAAGAGGCTTATGAAGCTAGTACACTTGATGACCTCTACCAGTCTTGGAGAATGGAGAACTGCCAGCACTCCAACAAATTTTTTATTGTATCCTTTTTTAACTGTGAAGTCTGCTTCTCTTTAAACTTAGACCTATTCAGTTAATTATACTCATTTTGAAATTGTAGGTGTCCATCTTTTGTGTCTACATCGCGACACACCTATTCAGTTAATTATACCCATTCTGAAATTGTAGGTATCCATCTTTCATGTTTGCATCTGGTGACATTTATTCAGTTGACTTATACCCATTTCAAAATTGTAGATGTCCATCTTTCGTGGCTACATCTCGCCACACTTATTCAGTTGATTAGACCAACCAGTGTTTGTACATTTATAGCACCTTAACCAGCGGCAAGTTTTCATCTATAACCTCCAAACTTTTTGAGACGTTCAAGGAGGTTGTAGGCTCAGCAACCAACTTCAGCTCCCTCACTGCCAAAACACAGGAATGGCAGAACAGATGTCTGGCATTACCAGTGATCAGGAAACGTAAGTTGAAACTTTGTTCTTTGATAAAATTATTCACAGTAGATTTGTGTTCAAATGAAGGGTGGGGTCCACATCTAGCTTAAGGTCCTAAATGACTAAGAATTTTACCTGTCAAATTTAGTCATGTGAGTGGGGATTATCCTTTTTGTTTTATTGACTTATTTGTAGTACAAGGGAAATTATTGGTCAGCTTCATATATGATTAATGCAAAGTGATAGAGTTTATCTCCACCTATTATTGCCCAAGATAGAGTTTCAAAAAACTGTGGTATATGATGGATAGCGTGGTCAGTGCTATGCCCAGCATCCTGAGTCAGGTACCCATCAGAGTTGGGTGGACTCATGGATGTCTTACAGACTTAAGCACAGAATTGTAAGCTCTACCACCCTACCACACTGCCCTGATAGAGAGTTGATATTTGTCAAATCCTGTTTGACTTTTAGTAAATTACTTCCTGTAATACTTCTATTTTTCCTAGAAAATATTGCATACTTTTTATAATTTGACTTACTATGTTCATATAATACCTCAATTAATTATGACTAGAAAATACAAATTACGTTTGAATAAAATTTTCTCTCTCTTGTACTAATCAAATTAGATCAGTAGCATTTTTTTAAATATCATGTTTAATTAACTTTATACAATAATGTTGAAACAGAGGATAAGCTACTAGTTGGTTGTTATCAAAATAATTTAAATTTTTCCACAGAAATTCTTGATGGCATGTTGGGACTGAGTCGCCAGAACAGTATTGTGATGAGCCCGGACAGGCTCCAGCTAGACTTTTGCTCACAGAACAGTTCACATGTTGACGACACCTACTCATGACACTTGTTCCTCACCCACTTATCATTGCTTCATTCTCATTTCCTTGTGTATTTGTGTGACGGAGTGACTGTATATAAGGAGTCTGTGTACATCTTTGGTGTCATTCACTGGGTAATTTATGTGTACACTGTGTATAGAGGGTGTAATTATATAAACTATCAGTTTAATTTAATTTTTCTAGTTTATTAAATTTTGTTAATTTATGGAAATCATCGGCCTTATGATGTTATTTAGTCATTGAGATTTATAGCTTAAAGATCTAGTGTACTTACATAAAATAAAAATAGCTAGATTCTTTTTGTAGGTAAATTTACCTCTTGTAAAGTCAATTTTTTAACTGGTTTTTATTGCATCTTTTCTTAAAGCTTTGAAGATGTTGGAGTTTTACAAATGAGTATACCAACAAAATGTGTAGATATCAATTCACATAAGCTAGAAACCTGCTGAAAACTATATAAATAATATGACGCTGTTCATATATCCAAGCTTTAATTAATTGGAACAGATTTTTTTTTTATTGTGCTTCTAATGTTATTTTAAATGTTTGTTATGATCTGCATTAATATTTTGGATTCTTTAGACTTAAATTTAGGTTGTCATTCTGCTAATGTATTTATTTTCTGATAAGTACATGAGTTTTAGAAAAGAAATATTTAGATTAAATAACTTTATTGCACTTGTTAATTTAAACCAAATTAATTTTTATGAATCAGGTTTTCTTTTTGCTTCTGATGTTAAATGAATTTTAAAATGTATTATTTACAGTGCCACACTTCCTACTAATAATTCATGCATTTGAAAATGGTGGGGATGAATGGTTCATGCTTAAAAAAATTAGGGGGGGGGGGCTCATTTATATTCATATCTGCATCTTTTCACTGCCTCACCATTCCCCACCCCTCAATAGAATCCCAACAGTAATTGTGATGATGAGTTAGGCAGCGCACCTGCCTGTAGAGTGTTTGTGTATCCAGCCTGTGTTAAGCCCTGAATTCCTGTAGATATTGATGTATATTTGTAAATAAGCTCTAGACCTCTTTTGGCCTACTCTCTCTTGTCCATAGTCATTATTTTATTTGATATGTTGAGCATTTTACCAACCTAAGAAGATGCATTTGAAACATTTTATTTTACAGAGTGTTTTATATATTTTACTGAAATCTTAGCTCCATTTGCAATAATGAAATCAGTTTGATAGTATACAACACTGTTTATTAAGCCACCTTAAGAATGCATTTTTATTAAGAATATTGTTATACTTCACATCAGTATATGTGAATGAAATATTTCTATGGCACAAATAGAATATGTGGCTGACATAAATGTTTTATGCAGTTTTTTTTTTCTAAATATTAAATGACATGCATTAGTCCTGAAAAGGATTCAACCAACAATGGCTTTGGCTTTATTTTGTTTGTTTGTTACTAACATTGAATTTTTTTGTACCTTTTTATTTGGTTGCATGGTACAGATGAATTAGAATTCACCTTTCTGTGATCTCTATGCATTATAGGAATTGTGTGATCAGCACTATGCCAAGCTGCCGTTATCTTTCCCTAATGTTAGTCAGGTACCCAATAAGAGTTAGGTGGACTAAGGGATGGGCTACTGACTCAATCCCCTTCAGGTGTTCTACAAAGTATTTTAAAAAAACCAGATCATTCAAAAACTGTCCATTACCTAAACCCTTAACATCTGTTGTGCTAAGGATGGACATCACATTTCAAAACTTACCTCAGAGAAGCAATTACTTAAGTGCTTATCTGATGGAGGTTACACTGTACAGTGGCACATTACTTTAAACTTTAATCACAGTATCAACATGAATTTCCAAAAGACAACAAAGTTTCCAACTTAAAACAATTTAATAAAGATATGAGCAAGTGAACAATGGAAGGAAAAAAAACAACACAAGTGCATCTCCATGCACAATGTTCCACTCAACAAAAAACAGTTTATAAATTAATTTTAGTAACTGCACATTAATCTATTAAATTAGCTTTTCAATTTGAACAAGAAAGTAACTTCTATTTAAATTATTTACAGTAATTAAATGTAAAAACATCAGGCACAGAGGTTAATTTGTTACCTGTCTGTATAAACAATTTGTTTTAATTTTTAGTACAGAGTAATTGGGGGTATCGTAGATTGCTTTAAAACAAAGTTGAACATGCTAAAAAAGTTTTTAGTTTTTGCTTAAGATGTATAAAATTGTAATGAGTATTTCTTTTAAAGACAACGTACATTTTTATCATGAATTTATAAACAATAAATACCTTTAAATAATTATATTACGTGTTTAAAATGCTGAATGCTTTAAAATATTTTAAAAAACGGATAAAAGTACTACTGTGTTTTAAATTGATAAAACACCTTTTTCTCAAATATTCTAAAACAATTTAAGTAACATTCTCATAGATAATCAATTGGATAACTCTGGTCTTCAGAATGACAAGGATGGGTTTTTGAATGAAAAGAAAAAAAGCAATATAGTACGAATTTCAAACAAATAGTTAATTGTAATTAAATCACCTTGCAGGCAGGCTAATTATAAATCTGTTTATAAAATGGACATTTTGGAATTTAATTTAATAGTGCCCTATGTTGCGAAAGGATGATGTACAAATATACAAGTGGAATGTTTAAGTTCTCTGTCATCTTGCGACTTACACATCAGAGACGTTTCAATTGTAACAATTAAATTTAATAAAAATAAAATTTCTGATAATTTTAGTTAATACTAACGATAAAATAAGTTGAAAAATATTACATTTTCGTGATGTGGAGAGGTATGCTCATGTGAAAAAAAATGTAACATTATTTTTTGGTGCTGTTCAAATAAAAAAAAAAAATTTCGTGTCAAGATTAATATAACAGATATTTGAAAATAAATACTTCTTTTCTTTGGCAAGTATTGTCAGTAGTACAGTGTACATATTAAATAACTGGGCCGAATGTAACAAAAACACAAAAATTTAATACTGTAATACACAACAGTGATTCATCAAAATTAAATAAATATGTGATTCTTAATTTTTACGAGAGAAAAATTACACAAAGTACATACTTCCCCATTCAATATAAACAAACTGACTTAAAGTATCACAAGAAAAAAGGCACTATGGAACAATAAAGAAAATTATTTTATAATTCATGCTACTGAAAGATATTATAAAAGTAGCAAGGGCCAATGTATATCATAAATCTTACAGAGATCAAAACAGTTGAAAGCTCTTGATATTACATTGCATAGAATTATTTCACCTGTGTAGAAGGGTAATGCTGTTATATGGAAGAAGGCTAACAATGAGCATTTAAAATGTGACCTCTGAGACCCTAGCTGCGTGGCAGCAGCTTCATTCTGCGGCAGATGAGGCAATTTTAACCTGGAGGAAGAAAACAAATTTCAGATGAAAAGGGAAGTAACTTGACCAAGAATACAAAATACTTAAATATGTTATATTTTTTCTAAAATATAATACTCTATATACATTAGAAAATAATAAGGGAAGCAGCTTTGACCAAGTATATAAAATAATTTAACTGAGAACTTAAATATATGTTACTAGATATTTTCTAAAGTACAACATCTTAAGTATTGTTGTTTTGCACACTGAAAGTTTTACTTATAGTAAAATTAAACATCTGCTCATGATGGTGCACTTATATTTTATTTAATGTTAAAAATTGACAGTAATTTATGTATGTTAAAGGAAATGTTCTGCTGATGCCAGTATATTTAAAGAGATTTAAAATATAATGCCTTGAACTAAAATTCAATTAAATCATGGTAAATTTTATGTTAAAAAAACATAAATATAAATCAGGATACTTATTTTCAATAACCTATCACAAACAGACATCACCATTAAAATGCTATTTATGCTTATGATGCATAAATATATAAAAAAGTCTCAATACTAAATATTTGAAAGTCTAAAAAAAACATAAATAAATATGTGGTGAACAGTCTCCTTACTAGTGAAGTAATTAATTTTCAATCAAGCCAAATATAAACTTACCAGACTGCCAGATTTTTTCAGATAGCCTCCACATTTCTCAATGATGAATTGGGTAGAAAGGGAAGCCACTAGGGAAGATGACATCCCAGTCGATCTAACTATTCCTTTGGTAACATGAGAGACCAGAGCAATTTCTGTTACCTCACTGTTTGAGCCAATGAACCCTTCCATTTTTGAACGGTAGCTGCCATAAATGACGCTCCAGAATGGGTTCTGTGTGGGGAGAAAAAAATAATTTTTAAAACATAGTTTGCCTTCAAATACTTCAAACAAGTTTCAGTGTTTATATAACTGCACCAAACATAAATGTAAGTATAACTTCTGTTTAGTTACATGCACAAATATGTGATAGCAAGCTTTGAGTGGTTGGATTTTGTTTTCTTTCTAAAGTAACTAATGTGCCTAAAAGACTCCCAGAAAACACTATTTATATGTACATGTAAAGACAGCAGTACCTACAACTATTTATGTGTACCACATAGAGCAAACATAATGATTTATCTGCTCAAGCCAAGGGCTGACCAGAAAAAGATGTGATTTTTTTTTTAGTTTCAGCACTGAAAAATTACAAACACCAAGGGGAGATAAAAAATTTTTTGATTATCCAGCGTGATGAACATTTTGTTTTTCAAGTTTTGTAATCATCACTTAAACAGCCACTGGAACCACTAGTCACTAAAGAAAAGTTAAATGTATTCACAGCCCACAACTTCAATGATGTGAGATGAAGGCAGGGAGTGCTGATGATTATATTTAATGTGAAGGCAGGGGGTGCTGATGATTCCATTTAATGTGAAGGTAGAGGTTGCTAATGAATCCATTTAATGTGAATGCAGGGGTCGCTAATGAATCCATTTAATGTGAATGCAGGGGTTGCTAATGAATCCATTTAATGTGAATGCAGGGGTCGCTAATGAATCCATTTAATGTGAATGCAGGGGTTGCTAATGAATCCATTTAATGTGAATGCAGGGGTCGCTAATGAATCCATTTAATGTGAATGCAGGGGTTGCTAATGAATCCATTTAATGTGAATGCAGGGGTTGCTAATGAATCCATTTAATGTGAATGCAGGGGTTGCTAATGAATCCATTTAATGTGAATGCAGGGGTTGCTAATAATTCTATTTAATGTGAAGGTAAGGATTGCTGATCATCATGTTTTCCTTTTTGTGCCAAAGACAACCCTGGGGCCACCATAGTAAGCTCTTTTGTCCGGGTCTCTGGCAACTAACTTGACAGGCCCAAAAGATAGTCCTGCCTTTGTCAGTTGCTTTTCTGCTGAGCGCCTTCATGTCTTGGCCTTCCCTGATTTTTTTTTTTCTGAGGCATTCAGTGGGGCTCCATTTCTGTGATGTTATTTAGATTTATTCTTAAAACATGCCCCACCCATAGTTTTGTATAACCAGCCTATGTTTCTCCTGATGTTTTTGTATCTGGTCTGTTGTGTTTATATGCACTTTATGTGGCGGTGCTGTGCACTAGTGTGAGACAATATATTCACATAAGCTTGATGTGCACTAGTGTGAGACAATATATTCACATAAGCTTGATGTGCACTAGTGTGAAACAATATTTTCACATCAGCTTGATATAATATACGCATGTTCATTTCCATATTATCTTCTTCTTCTTCTTCGTTCTTAATTGAGAATATGGTGGAGGATTTAGACAACAAGTCCAACTTCGTGAATGAACCGGACTGTGGTCTCCAGATCAGCAGGTGTCCCAAATAATTTTTCCCTGAGTGGGGTGAGCAGGGGCCAGTGTCTGACTCCGCCTGGCTATATAGAGAACATTCCTGAAGAACGTGCTTCATATTCTCCGGGGCCTTGCCACAAGGGCATATTTCGCCACACCCATTATGATAGTGTCAATATATTGGTTCTACACTATTTCAATCAATTATAACCTGTAAGTTAATGGAGTCTTGAGCTGCTAACTATGTGCCTATAAATGTATTACATTAAAGATTCTTTTTAAAAAAGCTTGTAAAACAATAATATAAACTTACTGAGAATAAGCTTTGAAATGATAGGGAGGAACTCAACTGAGGCCCTAAAAACATAAAATAAATACAAAATGTAGGTTATACATAATAAAATGTATAAAAAAATAGAATGAAAAAAAAAAACAATAAGTAAAGTTAACATCTTTTTGTGAAAAACATGTGACAAGCTAACAGTGACTTACCTAATTTCTCATCTATTTCTCTTGATTTGTCTAGCAAGTAAGCAACTATTTCTTGAACAAGGTTATCCTCCTCTGTTTAGTACAAAATTTTACATAGTACAATGTTTTTTGTGATTACTTAACTGAGGCCTTGGTTTAAAAAACTAATTTTTAAAAAAGCTTCCCCAGTGAAATTTGTTTACTACTGTATTGTATTATATAAGTCAAATATGTCCTATTCTCCTTTAAGATGAAAGTAGGTCCCATTCTTTAGGGGTCATCTATAAACAACATTATACTCCTCAGGGTGACAGTGTACACAGTTTTATCAGAAAGGGTAACAACACACTTTGTTTTTTTAAAAACTATTGTAAGAAACTGAAATTCAGTCGCCATTTCACATTTTTATAAGACAGTAAATTGCAATAGAAATTAATCATTAAATATATTACAAATAAATGCTTTAAAAAAAAAAACTCACTGTAATTTTGAAAGACGGGGGTAAATTTAGGTGTGAAGTCAATTGGGAAGGGCATGTCTTTATGTGACAATTGGAAGAAGGGAGGTAAATGTTGTGAAAAGAACAAAAATCAACCTTTTTTCTTATCCTGTTCCTGAGTCAACTGGTCTCCAATCTTTGCCAATTTGTTTGCAGCCTTTTTAAATTCCTGCTTCTTATCACTCTCTGGGGAGTCATTTTCTTCTTCATCTCCATCACATTCAAAAGAAAATTCACTTTTCTGTACTGTAAAAGAATCTTTAAAAAATTTTAAAAATTAGCTTCACTGAAGTTTATATACATGTAAATATATATATATATATTTATGGATATATATATATTTATGGATATATATATATATATATATATATATATTTATGGATATATATATATATATATTTATGGATATATATATATATATATATTTATGGATATATATATATATATATATATATATATATATATATATATATATATATATATATATATATATATATATATATATATATATATATATATATATATATATATATATATTTATGGATTTATGGATTTATTAAAATGAGATAGCTAGAACTACCTATAATTTTAATCACTTGAGCAGTATAGATCAAACATTCCAAAAAATACAACAAAATAATTCTGTTAGTGTTAGTATGTCATTTACCATTTGCAATTTCGTTCATCACTTGCCAGATCTCATCCACTAACTCTGAAGGCAGCTCCTGGAAAGTAGTCATCTTGACCTAGGGAATAATAATGTGAGAAGTTATTAACGTAATCTATTTTTTAAATTATTATATGAGATGCTCCATATCAGATAGGCCTAGGTCTTTATTGTGGTACCTGATTTTAATGTTTAAAAAACAAATCTTCCAGTTAGTGTGGTCAGCACTAAGTCCAGCAGGCTTTACTTTCCCTAATGTGAGTCAAGTACCCATTAGAGCTGGGTTGACTCAGAGACATCTTACAGATCTACGCTCATGATTTGATCCCAAGACATGTGGATTAGTTGTTATACAATCTATCACTTCATATGCCTGGTCAAGCAAACATATGAACTCCACTTCATCTGCCCAATGGGTCACTAGTTCTAAAGAGGAATCTACTTTTTTCACCATATTGTACAATCTACTGTATATATAATACAATACAAATAACACGTACTTGCTGACACAGCAGCGATAAATATAATTCTTAGATTAAGAAATTCCCAATCCTACATAGCCAACTAGGAGATATTCATGAATGATCAAAACATTGGAATAATATAGTAAGATCTATGTCAAATAGACTCTAATTATAATAATAAAACTTTGGGTTAAATAACTGTAACAATAGTAGGCACAGAGGCCTTTTTTTTAAAACTGGCTGTTATTAAAAAAAATATCAAAGACAATTAAATAAAATAACAATTAAATAGCACTGAAATTAAAATAGCATTTAAATTTTAAAATGTGGAATAAAGAAATAATATTCACATAGTTATTATAATACATATTTGAATAGAATGAGAATAAAATAGATGCAATAGAACTGCTGTGATAACTCTGTAAGAGGTCATGAAATAGTTGGGTGTTTTTTTTTTAAACTTTGTTTTAAATAGATTTTCAGTGCCAGAGTTTTATTCTATTAGGAAGATTGTTCCACTAACTGACACCAGAATAGGTATTTAAACGACAATGGTCTATCCCTATATAAGATCTAGTAGGTCTATTTAATACATTTTATTGATTATAATTCAATCAGGATTATTGATTTAACAATGGCCAACAATAGTTTATTCTGAAAATAGATGTGTGTTAGTACTATTGATATTTTATGTTAAATGTTATAGTTAGAAATTAGGATTAGGTGTATGGCAGGACTTAGAATAGGGTTAGCATTGAAATTAGCAAGTAATATGTGTATTTAATTAACTACCAGTAACATAACACCCCTGAAGATTCAATTGTTATGCCATTATCTGACATATGTATAACCACATAACCCTTTAATTCTGTAAAGAAGATTGCTGTTGTTAATATGATATTGCCATTGATCTAGATTTATAGATTCTTTAGGCCTAGTAATTGATGCTATGACATGATTAGGCTAGAAGCCGATATTGTACATTAATATAATAGCCATAATGTCAATAATGCCAATAATATGAGTTCAATCTTGCATGGTTTATTAATAATTGTGTAATATTTTACTTTTACATTCTAACACTTTTCACTTTTTTTGTTCATCTTGTGTTTGTTAGCCTTGTTAATAGCTATGCCTAATGCCCTGCCTGTTATAACTGAGTCCACCAACCCCCCCTTGTCCCACTGCTAGTTGGTATCTACCCCACCCCCATCCCGTCCCACACCTGAACTGGGACAGCATGGTACCACCCCTCCCCGTCCCACACCTGAAATGGGACACAATGCATCCCCGTAGCTATGTGCAGGTTAGGGCGCCTGCCCCTCTCCCTCGCTGGACTGCCGGGGTTAGGCAGGGGTGAAGGAACACTAGGGTGAAGCTTGGGCCAGAAGAATAAATTAGGGTAGTTGAACGTTAGCCTTAGAACTAGAAGCATGTAGTGGTGTTGTGTTTTTGGAAAGTGTGGTAGGGCTGGTCCCTAGGGCCGGCCGCTATTAATGAACGAGTTTACTTCCATTACTCATGTGTATTAAAAGTCTTAAATCCTATGTGTGTTAGTGTTACTCAATCAGGGCTAAAACTGTTGCCTTAACACCTCAACCCTCACTGCAGTCATCAACTATGTCAAATTATACCAACCATACTGATGACTCGTTTCATAACACTGCCCCCTAAGCCTAATGTAACTATTTTGATAATTAAGTAATTAGGGCCTAATAATAATTAGTTTAGTAATTAGGCATACTTTTAACAATCAGACTTGACATAATTTTATATAGAATCTAGATCTTGATCTATACAGAGGCGTTGCGACCCATTCCTGCGCCTGGAGTCGACTATCAATTTTGACCCCTTGCTTCCATTTCTATTACAGTTATTCCTGTCCCCCTCCCCTAAGTTGGAAAGGTTTGTCGTGCTTCTTACCAGTTGCTTTCCCGTAACATTTTCTATTTCGGCGCCACAAACTCAGTATAGAAAACAGTTAAATCAGTGTGTAAAGCCTCCCCTAGCTACGCTACTGTATACTGATTGAGATTGTGGTCTAATTCTTGAAAAATTACGAAAAAATAGAATGGATCTTCTAGATCTTTAATGTAGAATTTTAGAAATATTGGTAATCTATCGTTTTGGGTACGTAAAATCGCCCGCGACTAGAAATGTGAAAAACAGGTGAATCCTTAAATTTTAATAATTATTTCACATTTTGAGGAGTATTTATGTTTTGAAAAATACAAAAATGTTTCCTTCTTTCATTTATGTACCTGTTTTTAAACAATTGAATTAAAACTTTTCAGTAATAAATGAAGACTAGCGATGTTTCCAACAGATGCAACCATGCTCATTTACTATAGCAGCCATCTTGTTTAATTTTTTTTTTATAGCGGATATAGCGCGAGACAGGCGGAAGTCACTCTATTTTACAAATGGCTGCTGTTTATATAGCAAATCTTGCTCGCAAACACTGCTGTTTAAAGTTAATTTCTGGCATATATTGATATATTTAGCCATTGATTTAGGTTTATTATTCATTTATCTATAATATTTGACACAAATATATCACAATATACTTCTACTAAAGCCTTGACAATGAGGTAACTTTTTCGTACATTAATAGCCGCGGGCGATTTTACGTACCCAAAACGATAGATTACCGAAATATTTTATTAGGCCTATTTCAACTATTTGTTTACTAGGCCTATTCTATTGACTCTACTGTAATAAAATAAAGTAATTAGGTCCTACTTTTAACTTTATTAAATCTAGAGATTAGATCTAGATTTCTAGATCTAAATCTAGGCTAGTCTAGATCTAATAAACTTTAACAATAACTTACGTGTGTCCTGTTGTGTGTGTGTACGCAATGACTCCGAGTGACGTTTAAAAAAGTCTGAAAAGTTTAGGCTAGATTTTTTTTTTATTATTTTAGATCTAGATCTGGTCTCTATGGATCTGTCTAGCTAATTAATAAAAGACACAAAATATCGGTATCTTAGGGTGTTCCTGCAGGGTTAACGAGTGATATCTAGACTCTAGATCTAAATTCTAGATCTAGAAATCTAGGTCTATCTATCTGTGTGTAGGCCTAACATACAGTAAACTGACCCTACACAACGTAAATTTAACAATTCGCATTTTTTTAACGTGACAATTAAATCAATTGTGTCAGTGTTCAAGAGAAAAACAAAATAGACAAAATCACTATATAAATCAATAATATAAACTACGTTAGCAAAAACAGCAGGAATATAGACTATTGAACTAAAAAGAATCGCAAAAAAAAAAAAAAAACGATTAGGCTACGATGAAAAGTATAGGTGTCGTTGCGTCCTTATGCTCCATTATGGGTCCACATGAATGTAGTGTTTCTTCCAGACTTTTTTCTCCGGGGGGGGGGGGGGGGCGGTAGACTTTCTTCGGGGGGGCGGACACTGTTAAAAATATATATTTTCTATATAAATTATATAAGAGATGCCTGCATGAATGAATGTTGATGAAGACGGTGCAGGGTTTCTTTCAGGTAACCCTTGGGGGGTGGGGGGGGGGGGTTAATACCACACCACACCCACCCAATAACGAACGAAATCCTGCAGACTTACGTCAGATTGATGTACAGACATGGGAAAGAAGTTAGCGGACAAGTCCGAATGGGAAATGCTGGTGAAGCAGTCCAAAGCCCTATTTGGGTTGTATAACCACAGGGATGGATACGGCGTTTCTTTAAGACATATTATATTTTTTCCGGGAAGGGGGGGGGGCTACGACACTACACTGGTTAAAGTATATATTTTATATAAATTATATATTTTTCTATTTCGTCCGGGGTTCCCATGACGTGCTCCAGAGGTGGTGGGGGGGAGCATCAACCCCTAAAGAGATGCATGAAAGAAACTCACGATGTAGATCTAAATAGGGCTAATAATAAGATCATATCAGCAGCCGCGAGCCTGTCTATTAAAAACTTGTGAATACTAAGAGGAATTAACCAAGCTTTGATGATTTAGCGAAAATATTAACTGAATTGTTCCCCTTAGACTTATGTGAACAGAATAATTAACTCCATCTGGCATTTTAATATCGGACGGGCGCCATCCCTACATTTTCACTATTAAATGATATCGCAATGAATCATAACGAGTTTCCTTGAATTCCTTTATTCTGAGATCGTTAAAATAAAAATAAAAACTTGTAATTGAAATGCGAAATGACAATTGGAACACCGGAAATTCATCTTGACTGCTAAGTCTAGAGTAGATCTAGTTTTGTTGTGTACGCCTGGACCTATCCTAATACTAATACTAGATCTTGATTCTAATTCTATTCTAGATTTAGATCTCGATCATTTATGTGTATAGATCTAGATCTATAGAAATCTATAGTTATTAGATTTATAGGCCAATAAAATAGATCTGTATAATAATTGTAAGTAGGCCTACAGATTCTAGAATAATCTATCGTTTTAGGTGCGTAAAATCGGCCGAGGCTAGTACTAAGTTACGACTAAGTAACAGTAGTACTAGGGTAAAACTCCTTTTCAGCGTATTTTATTCTCCGTTGCTTGTTTACCTCCAGTTGAGCGTATTTTATTATAACAACCGAAACACACCAAAACATTAGGAAAACACGATTTATTTTTTGTATTGTATTTCTGTTTTCACAAATGAATAAAATGAATGTTTAAAAAACACGACTTATTTATTTGTATTGTATTTTTGTTTTAACAAATGAATAAAAAACAACAAAGAGACTGACTGAAGTGCTTTGTTTGTTGGTTACAAAAATAGAGATGCACACTTTGTACAATTAAGTGTTCCAATTTCAACTAAACTGAATAAAAGTATTAAAAGGCACAATGATGCTGCCGAAAGTGGGCCGAGGGGGGGGGGGGTGGAATTTGGTGAGGGATGGCTTGGAGTGTTAGAGAAAGTGTGACAACTCACGTTGTCATTTTAAAAAAAAATAATGTTAGAGGTCGTCCATAAATGACGTCACACTCGCAGGGGGAGGGGGGGGGGGGTAATTTTGTGACGGTGTGTGATGAGGGGGGGGGGGGTTCAGATGGTGCTACGTCATTTTGGGGGGGTCTTGCTTTTTGTGACGACACGCTTTTTTACGATTTTTACCTCCCCCCTCCCCTCCGTTACACGTCGTCACAAAAAGTCAGACCCCCCCCTAAAATGACATCACACCTCAGCCTACAAACCCCCCCCCCCCCCCCTCAAAATTTCTGTTGAATTTTTCTTAAAACATCGATAATTTTTCCAAAATCTTGTCAGAACTCTGTCAACATAGAGTATTTTGATCAATTCAGATTACAATTTATTAAAACCGTTTTCTAAAACGCGAAAAAACGGCTAAAACTTGTTTTTCTAACATTCCTTTTTTGTAATGCAAAAAAGGGACGTCACACCATCTGAAACCCCACCCCCTCCACCTCATCACACATCGTCACAAAATTGCTGACCCCCCTCTCCCTTACGAGTGTGACGTCATTTATGGACGACCCCACATCAATTTTTTTTTAATAGTCAGAAATTTACTCATACAAAAAAGGGAAGGATGGTAGATTTACTATGAATTTAAATAACATACAACTCTATAGTAAATTTTTTTTTTCAGTTTTAGCAAAACTGTCAAATTAAAAAACACAGTTTGTACATTTATTGCATAAATAAAAAAATATAAAACATAATGATAAACAGTGTATCAGTTTCACCATGAGACAAATGCCTTTTTTTAAAAAAACACAATACAAATAAACAAGTCGTGTTTTTTTAAATATTCATTTTTATTCATTTGCTAAAACAAAAATACAATACAAAAAATCGTGTTTTCCTAATGTTTTGGTGTGTTTCGGTTGTTATAATAAAATACGCTCAACTGGAGGTAAACAAGCAACGGTGAATAAAATACGCTGAAATGGAGTTTTACCAGTACTAGAATAGTAATGTGCGAAAAAGTTGTTTAAGTTCAAGTTTGGATACGGACAAAAGTCAAAACGCCGACACGGACAAAAGGCCGACATGGACAAAACGCCGACAAGACAAAAGGCCGAAAGCTAAAAGGCCAACATCCAAAAAGACCGACACGACAAAAGGCTGACTGCTAAAAGGCTGACAAGACAAGGCAGGCCTTTTGTCTTACACCCGAACAAGTTGCCTGAAATTTTTAAGGCTAAGGCTTTCATAGAAGCTTAGTATAGGCTACTTACTACTATTTAGAGAATCTAGTATGTAATGTATGTTGTGATAAAAAAGTGATATATTTGTTGTGTCAAATGTTGTTATATTAGGCTATAGGCCTAGATAACTGAATAATAAACCAAAATTTAAAAAATCAATGGCTAAATATATCAATATACGCCAGAAATTAACTTTTAAACAGCAGTGTTTGCGAGCAAGATTTGCTATATAAAAAAAAAGTAAAAGATTTGCTATATAGTAGGCCAATATATTAATATAAACAGCGGCCATCTGAATCTCTAACTATAATTTTACCAAAAAAAAACTTAAACAAGATGGCTGCTAAAGTAAATGAGCTTGGCTGCATCTGATGTAAACATCGCTAGTCTTTATTATTGAAAAGTTTTAATAAGATTGTTTAGGCCTAAACTTTTAAACATTTTGTACTTTCAAAACATAAATTCTCCTACAAATTTGAAATAATTACTAAAATTTAATGAGTCACCTTTTTTTTACATTACTAGTCTTGGCAGATTTTACTAACTTAAAACGATAGATTACTGATTCTAGATATATTATAGGCATAATATGATAATAATGAGTCACATTACTTATTATCAGCCTCGCTCGATTTTACTACGACGACGTACCTTAACTCTAACTGAACTCTAAACTAAAATCATGATACTTGATAGATTAAAATTAGATAGGCCTATTTATTAGATTTAGATTAAGGCCGATTGATTAGGCCTACCAAATAAAAATAGGGCCTATATGAATAATTAGGCCGATTTTAGCCGGAAAAAGATATGCATACTACCGCCTTCCTTCGTGTCGTTGTTTTCGATGGTACTGTGCATGCGTGTGTTTACAAACACACCGCAGAATCTTAACCCTAGCGCATGCACAGCTTTTCCTAACCCTAGCGCATGCACAGCTTTTAAGGTCACTGCGCATGCACAGAACTCTTGAATTTTGTATCTTCTGCTGACCAGATGGAGACGCTGGGGCGAAAAAAAATTTCCGAGTAGTCACTTCGATATTATTATTAATACATGGTTTTATTATTCACATCTAAAAAAAATCGATCTAATCTATGGTCTAAGTCTCACTACTCTTAAGTCTCCAAACTGTCCTTTATAAATGCTAGATTTACTCACTTCTGAATGGATGAGTCTTGGTAAATTGCAAAATCACGAGATGGTAATTTCGAAAAGAAAATGTGAGACACACCTGTTGAATCGCAGTTAAATAGCGCAGTTAAAGTTAAAATAATGTTAAAGAATAACTATCTCATATGGAGCTGCGTGCAGTTACATTTAAAAACATTAGGTCTACAAGGAACAAATATTATTATATATTAGATACTATTACATTCAATAAATAACATTGAGTAAGATTATTTGTAAATAGTAGTAACCAACTTCATCTGTCTGTCTGTCTGTTTCTCTTTCTCTCTCTCTCTCTAATGTTTTATATAAGCCTAAATGTATGTATAGGCCTAATTAAATAATTTTTTTCCTACCTCTACAGTTTTAACATTACAGAATGGATACAGATGCCCCTTTGACTAGTGTGCCTGAAGACCTGAAACGCTTGGTTCGTCTGATTGTCAGGGGGTTCTACTCCATGGAACATGCTGTTGTCATTGATATGTTGGTCAGGCATCCATGTGTGAAAGAGGACGACTTAGCCGAGTTGCTGAAATTTGAACGCAAACACCTCAGGTGGGTTATATACTTGGAAAACAATAATGAAGGATAGGTAGTCTCTTTCTGGTGGGGATATATTTACATTTTAGAATTCTTTAAAAATATCTGTTGAATCGTACATAAAAGTTAATGTAGAAACACACACATGTGTATATATATATATATATTTATATATTAACACTTTTTTATGTTATAATCAATATTAGCACTATATTTAAGTTTCCGATAAATGCTACTTGTATTTGATTTTTAAGATTTTAATGAGTCTTCTTTTTAAAATAAGAAGAGTTTTTAAAAATCTGAACTTTTCAATAGTTTTTTTTTTCTTGTATGTTTTTTAAATGATGTATTTTTATAATGAAGTCAAATTGTGCAAGTGCAAGCGACAGAAGACACAACACTGTACCATTTAGTATTTTCTTTAATATTTAAATTTCTCTTCGCTTCGTGCATATTTAAAATAATTTATCAATATATATGATTCTTGATTATATCCAGGTCAGTGCTAAACATGTTAAAAACTGACAAGTTTTTGAAAAGTAGAATGCGAGTTGAAACAGACGAAGAAGGGCACACAACTAGACATACATTTTATTTCATTAATTACAGGTAAGTCATATAGTGAATGAGTTATAAAACAATGAACAGTTGATGACTGGAATTTTTGGAAGCTTAGTTTAAAATGCTTGTTTTATATTTATGTTGCACATAAGAATATCTGATATGGTGATTGTAATTAACAGTGGAAATATTTAGTTTGTGTGGTGGTATGGGATATGGAAATGGTTCTTGTGGGAGATGGTGTGGTGGATGTAGATGGTGATTGATTAAATGGTGGATGTAGATGGTGATTGGTTAAATGGTGGATGTAGATGATGATTGGTTAAATGGTGGATGTAGATGGTGGAAGATGGTATGATGGATGTAGATGGTGGAAGATGATGATTGGTTAAATGGTGGATGTAGATGATGATTGGTTAAATGGTGGATGTAGATGATGATTGGTTAAATGGTGGATGTAGATGGTGGAAGATGTTGTGGTGGATGAAGATGGGGATTTGTTAAATGATGGATGTAGATAGGGGAAGATGGTATGATGGATGTAGATAGGGGAAGATGGTATGATGGATGTAGATAGGGGAAGATGGTCTGGTGAATGCTGATTGTGGAAAATTGAGTGGTGTATGTAGGTGGTGGAAGTAAAATGAGTGATAGCTAGAGTGGATTAGATATTAAAGTGGATAGAAGTGCTGGGCGGCTGTGATATCTATCTTGTTGTAATTCTCACAGTGTGTTTGTGAATGTGGTCAAGTACAAGCTGGACCACATGCGGAGAAAGATTGAGACAGATGAAAGAGACAACACAAGCAGGTCCTCGTTCAAATGTCCAAACTGTCAGAAAACGTACACAGACTACGAGGTTGGGGAGTTGCTGGATCCCTCCACTGGTGAACTTGTCTGCACTTTCTGTCAAGTTACGGTAAGTCTATGTTTGTCAAGTTATGTTTGTGTTTGTCAAGTTACAGTAGGTCTGTGTTTGACAAGTTACAGTAGGTCTGTGTAATGTATTTGAACATGTCTGGGTGTGATCTGACCAACTATTCTACTGAGAGACTTCTATTAAAAGAAATATTTTGGCAGTAGAGCGCGTGATTAATAACCACAAAGTCTTGAGTTTGGTTTAATGGGTTTGGTTGTATAAGTCCCAGAATCCACCCAACTGATGGCTTGTAAACTAAAGAGAGCTGGTCATAATTTTGATTACACTAACAAGGTAGATGAACAAGTTTTAGTTTAATGATTAATGTTTCACTAGGGCTTTGTTTAATGATTAATTTTTCACTAGGTTGAGGAGGATGAGAGCTCTGTGCCCAAACAAGACGCCAGAACATTACTAGCACGGTTCAATGAACAGATCAAGCCCATCTACGAGCTGCTCAAGCGTTGTGAGGATGTCAGGTTGGCGCCAGAGGTACTGGAACCAGAACCAACAGATCTCAAGAAAGTCATGAAGTAAGTCACAAGTCATTTTTTTTTGTGTCATAAATAAATAAGAACTTGGTTCCACATAATTTCTACAGCCTCTGGGAAGTTATTACCAGAGACTGTGGAAATTATGTGGAACCAAGGTCTTAATTTATATATTTAAAAGTCCTACTAAGTTGTGAATATTAATATTGAATAACACTTGTAAAAGAACAAAGATCTACATTTTCACTTCAAATTCATCACAGTAAACACATAAAATAAATTTTTGAAAATTGACGTAAAAATTATTTTGTTATTGTACGAGCTTACAATCCTGTCGTATTCTTTCAGTAGGGGCAACGCACCTGTGTCACACAGGCAACAGGACGGAGACAGGACCGTATGGAGCGGTGACGCTACCCGTAATGTTGACTTTGGCTACACGGAGAACCGCGTCACCATTACCATGGATGACGAAAATGCTGGGAAAGTGGAAAAGAAAGATCAGCCGGTTTGGATGACCAAGAGTACTATAGATGGAACTTCAGCCATTGATACAAGTGTTTTAGAGGTGAGATGCCTGGTTTATCAGTAGAGTTTTTAATTAACTACGTTTAAGAGATGATTATACACTTGTTAAGAGAGTTCTTTAGAACTGCATCCAAAGTTCCAGCAGATGTATATGTTTTATAATCGGAGTTTTATAGACTATAGCCATTAAAAAGATGCATTCACCGAATTGTCTCGTCTGCCATGCTTCAGGTCAGAAGTGTAAACACTACAACTATTTATATCCAAGTGTATGAAGTGTTTATGTTTCTGATCACGACAGTTGAGGTGATTTGGGTGCTGTGTTGAGTGGTGGGTTCGGATCCTGTCTGGCTAAAACAACTCAGTCTTTTCTAGGACTATGTTGTGTACTTGTGTCTACATTAAGCATTGTTATAATTAATTATGTGTATATTTATATTAACCTGTTTCCTTGTTTAATCTTTCCCTAGACCAAACACGTTGAAACTGACAAACGCGGCAAAAATGTGGGGGCTGATGACATATTACAAACTCTACTGGTCCACGAACCAAAGGCCGGGCCGTCACGGTTCCCCGCACCTGAGTCTAGCGGGGAGTCAGACATGGAAGATGTCAAGAATGGTGATGGTATGTCTTGTTGTGCAGTTTTCTTCTTGACTAATACTTTGGGTTCTTTCCTTTTTGTATTGACTCCTTTTAAGTCTTCACCTTTTTGTCAACTCCACTTTTAAAATCATGTAACAACAATTGCTACTTTCCTATACTTTTGTATCAACTATAATATAGTACATAAACTGTAGGCCTCCTCTAAATGCTCTTTATTTCTTTTATATATAAGTAATGATATTAATTTATTTACATTGCAAAGGCTGTTGTAATCTAAAAATTAACCTGGTCGTATTTATTATAATTTGATAAAATGTTATCAAATTTTGTTCCTTGATCCTTTTGTTCAGTCTCTTCTGTTTATTTAGTCCTCATCTAATGTTTAAAAATATTTATTTTGTCCTTGTGCTGTTGATTTTATCCTCATCTGCTACTCATTATTTCCTTATCTTCTGTTCATATTGTCCCTATCCCCTATTTTTTGTTTCTCCAGAAATTGAGGAGATGGACAGTGATGAAGATGAAGATGCTGGCCCCTTGGTTACCATTGGTTTAGATCGGGTCCCCTACAACAACGTCACCTCTGAGATGGTCGCAGCCATGACCCCGCTAGAGAAGGAAGAATACATTAGAATAGGGCAGCAGTTGTATGAAAATATGTATGATTGATGCTGAGTGGAGATATAGACTACTGATCCTATTCATCAATAGCTGATGAAGATTGTTACCTCAGTTGTGCTCATGATAAATTACAGGAACGGCAAGGATTTGAATAATGTTGCGCCATGGAGTCTTCTTGCCTGTTGTATTTAGAATTTTTTTTCTGGCTAAGTTGTTTAATGCCATTGAAGTGATCTGCCAGGATAATTACTAGTACTTCTACCATGAAGGGACAAATGCCTAGTTTGATGCAGTGATGTATGCATGTTGGCCTGCATACCTGCCTAGCTTCATTAATCATTGACCTTCCATTGTTACAGATTTGCCTAGCTCTGTAATTCATTGACCTTTCAAACAAAAATGATGCACAAAAACAATACCACACAAGACTTCAAACATCCACGACCATATCTGGATGTAAGCTGAAAGAAATCTGTGTGTCAGTGGTGTAATTTTCACAAAATTAAACAAAACTTATTCCTTCAAGAATTTGTTTAATGAATGATGATGTTTATGATGGCTATGGTTGATTATAACATCACAGTATTACATTCATCAGCTTCCAGGAACTCTCACTGATGCTTGGAGTGAGATTTGTTTTCTTGAACCAGAGGGCTTGTTTTTATAAGTTCCAACATTTTGGATAGTTATGAGTTGTGCTTGTTGACAAAAGTTATGCCAAAGCCTTGTCATCTACTTTAAACCATATTAAATATTAGCGCAGTTATGTATATTGCAAAGTGCAAGGAAAACTAAATTTTTTTAAATGTTGGAAACAAGATCTGGGATTATAAATCTTGGAAAACTAGTTTAATTTTGTAGTTAAAGTGGAATTGTAGAATTAATTGCCATTTAAAAGATGTAGCTTATGATGTGGTTTTATAATTACAGCCTTAAAAGTTGAGATACAGAAAAAGACATTCACTGGAGCAGCTAATTTTAATCAAAACCTGATCAAATTTAATTGGTCTAGCCTTAATTACTAGTTAAGGAGAAAAAATTTATTTTTTTTTACAAAAATGAACTTACACGAGGTATACACCGGTTGTTCTAAACTGTTTGGTAATTTTTAAAATTGATTTTAATAAAAATGTTTTACAAAATGTGTATAGTTTTGAAGTCAGTGTTAATTCTGGTATATTAGTTATGTTTTTTTTTTTTTTTGTAAAATTTTATTTATTTCATCTTGCCAGCTGTTGGGTTTTTTTGTTGTCGGATATGTTTTCCTGAATATCAATCAGTGTTGTAGAGTAACCTGTAGGTTTTCTGTGGCAATCAGACTACATGGCATCTCTTTCCCTATTTGACACGGGTACTGAATTAAGCTGACTACGTGTGCAAACAATATTTGTTCCCAACAACTTTTCAACAACCTGATAGAGGTACTGGTTGAAAGGTCAGGGACATACCAAAGATCAAACTCCTGTGATGTCCAGAAACCACTCATCGTATTCTAAAGCCACATGACAACCACGCCCCAGTTATTAGCATTAATATGGAAGCTTAAGAAGGAACTTGTTTAATAAATTATTTGTTGTTCTTTAAATAAGCAGTTTAATAAAGTTGTTCATTAATTGAGCAGTATTTTAATTAAAATTGTTTTATTTTCTTATAATTGATTTCTTTCTTTAACATTGTTTTAGAGCATCAGTCACAGCTAAATTAATATGCTTGTATGTTTAACCAAATTTCTTTGAGAGATATGGTTGGCAGTAATCTACCCAACAATGGATCTAGGTACATGATGAATAATATTATGTAAGTTTTTAAAAAAATATTGTAAACAAATTAAATGAACAGAAAGCCTGCAGAAAAATCTCCAATGAAAATTTATTCTGAGAATAAACAACATGTAAGCCATTGAGTCTATCAGATGCATCTATATACAACACAAATCTCACAAAAATGCTAGAAAAATGTGGCTAACATTTTAAGCAAGGTTTATAATCCCCTTCCCTGTGACTTAGGAGGGGCAAATGTAAAATATGTTAAGGCATACTAAAAATATCATTCAATTGCTGATCTAAAATCTTTTTTTTAAAAAGCGCTCCTAATTTTCTACACATCAAAAAGTTTGGCAGTTGATGAATGTAATCTAAACTGATGTTCAAAATGTGCATTAAAAATGAATACAAATATGTATTTTAAAGCAATGTTAGAGATAAAAAGCATTAGATAGAATGAATGACAGCTGCGATGTGGTGTCATGCACATGTCATTAGGAAACTATGACATCTGAAATTGTTTAAGTATGCCAAAAATATTTTTAAAACTACACATATGAACCAGTAACTAAAAAACACTTTCTAAAAAAATGAACACGTAATTAAAACATAAATATTAACAAAAGTTGATATGGATTAATTTAATTGGCTGTATATTATACAAGAACTTAAATATCACAAAATTGGTGACTGGTCAAACAAACAAAAAAAAATAATGGATTTAGTGATAAGTTATACAAAATTTCATTACCAATAATTTAGGTCTACATGGTTCTAATGTTTAATAACTAATGTAGTATCCATATTACATACAATTTTATATTCATTTTTCCAAAAAAGTAAATTATTAAAAAATGTGTTAATTTAAAATTAGCTTTAAAACACTTGGCTGAAAGTACTTACATAACTAAAGAGCAAAAAAAAAAAGGAATTTAACTTTTAAAAAGCAGGTTATTATTTTTTTTACTAAGTAATCTAGTATTGTATTTTTAAAAGTTCATTTTAATTTATAAAAACTAAATTGTAAGAACTAACTTCTTATATAATTATAAGACCTTATTATATACATTAAAAAAAAAAACCAATAGTAAGGACAAATGCCAGAAAAACATTTGGTCCAATCCAACATTTCCACACCAAAAGCTGTTTAAAAAAGTGAACGGCACTGGATACCAGTAACATAAACTTGTATGTTAGAACAGTAGGTAGTTTGATCAATTAAAACAGTGACTCAACTTAAAAACTGAGTCACCAATTAATACAATGAGTTACCACTGGAACATATTCAAGAAAAAACATATTTTGTACATAAGAAAAACAAAGAACACATCTTTTGTACCCTTAAAGCAATATGTCACCATATAAAAAGTGAGTCACCATTAGAAAAATGAGTCACCTTTGTAGTAGACTCCACATAAAAAATACCCCATTAAAAAAAAACAAAAAAAGAACTAATTCTGCATGCAAATAATCTCCGACATTCTCAATAGAATGCAAGTATCATCATTCAGACTCCTACAAACAAAAACTCAGACATTCTGTTTCAACATCTGACTCTTTAAATAAAAAAAATTGAACAGGAAATATATAAAAAGCCAATAAAAGAAACATCATAGGACATGCATCCTTACTTCATCAAGACAAAACTAAATTTGTTAAAAACTTAAATTAAAAAAGCAATAAAACAATTCATGTTTTGAATGAACTGAACAGTGTTGAGCAAGGGTCACTTAAATTATTTTTCTGATGTAAAATAAACAAAATTCTTCTCACACCAGCTCTAAGGGCTTTACCTTGAATGCCACAAAAGTTAAGTGCAAGTTGCATCTAAGTATGAAGTTCAAATTTAAGTGGCACCAAAATATTTAATAATGAAAAAACACATTTCTTTTTTTTTCTCAGATTTAGCTCTTTCTAAGAAAGTAAATAAATGGTTAAAAGATTAACTCAAAAAGACAGTCAGCAGAAATATCTTCTTTTCAAAAACTGTTGGTTTTTTATAAAAAAAAAGGATTACATAAGGTTAAATAAAAGAAATTTTATATCATATGATATTTAGTTGTTGTGAAAAAGTTTGAAAAATACTGATAGAGTACATCACATCCACAATTTCTACAGCTTAAATATTGACACTTCAGTCTTACCGAGTCTTTGTTTACACAATCTCAAATTAAAAAACAATTAGCCAAGGTACAGAAATGTATCAACTGGGTGGAATCTTTATTAACTCCCCCTAATACACCTACACAGGGTTGGATTGATTTCACAATGCCTCCCGTATGAACATACAAACATGAAAGACCGCCCCCTTTTGGACTTATTTTTGGCTAGGCCATTGAATATGGCATGGCTATGCCACTGAATTTGGCATGGCTATGCCACTGAACATGGCAGAAAGTTTGAAATACATTGGCAGTGTTGACTACTGACTAGCATAACATTTCTTGGCACACACTGGTCTATGCAACTCAGACAAAAATATTTTCAGATATGTCGGTTTGGTTATGATATGGTTTACATTCAATCAATATGTAAAACATTGATGCATAAGGTTTCTAGGTTAATTAAATAAAAACAAATAATTATATAAGCTTAGTTAATTAATTAAAAGGCTTAATTTAAGGCAAATTTATTTATAGCAGAAAAAATATTTAGTTCAGATCTGAGAGGCAAACATTTCTATGAAAAAGAATTGCATCTTATGATAATAGTGGTGAAACTTTTACTCTGAACCCGAAAAAAAAAGTATTAATAAATAAAACAGGACTGTTACACTGAAGCCAAAGCTAAGCTCTATGCTACAGCTTGATTTGTTTCTATTGGCTGTAAATATTGCACAACAGCAGTTCAATACATTGGTTCAAGCATAGAATAAATTTCAAGATAAATAAATGGGGGCTTGTTGTTGCACCGTGTGTCGAGGGATGATTCATGACCTCACAATTTGACTCGCAATTAGTGTTACATTTTATTATGTATTTAAAATTCAAATAACTCTTTATTGAAGACAAGTGCAATTTTCTTGTGCGAAGTGTGTTAAAACATTTGAGGCTTTATATAAATATCCAGCTACTAAAACCACTTCACTAAGTTAACATATGAGATCATGTTGGTGCCAATGCACCACACTGAACACAAATATAATTACAAATTCTATGAGCACATTACAAGAAAGAATCCAGTATAATTGTTTATTGAAATACAAACAATTATCTACATTTAAAAAAGTTTTTTTTTTTTTTGCTATTTTAACGAACATTAAAATAATTATTTGGCAACAAACGAAAGTCGTTTTATTTTAATAATAAACAGTTTTTTTACATGAGTTGCTTGCAGATAAATAATCTTAGTATGAGCACTAAGCTGGTCTTATAGTGAAAGACTTGGTATGCAAGGTGTTAGCACTGAATCCAGTATCCACCCACATCCATAGGGCTTGGCCAGGTATTTGTGTCACAGACATACCACTGGCAGGGGTATAAATAGTATCAATTTTTTTTTGTTAGGGCTCTTTGTTCATTGATTGCTTATCATAGCAACCAGATGCAGCTTGGCAACCAGCACAGCGTGGCAACCAGATGCTGGTTGTGGCATGGCAACCAGATGCTGGTTGTAGTAAAGGATGGTTGATGCAAGGCTGCTTTTGGCACAGCCAAGGCTACCAGTAGCGTAACATCCAAGATTTATAGAATGCAGTAAAGTAGTCACAGAAAAAAATGCTTGTAGCTTTAAGTGACAAAGTAAATTGAAATTGATCAGTAGCTCATTCTAATTTTTGCTAAGGCAGTGTACAATTTTAAAATTAGCTGCTTAAACCTAGTAACAAATTATTATTTGATTTTCAATTCTGGGTAGTTAGTGGATATAGCAAGAAAGAAGAATTTCAAGACAAAGTAGCTTAGGCTAGTGAAGAAAACCCATGATTCTGTTCACTATTACTAAAGAGATTGGCTTAGGTTAGGAGAGAAAGCAACAGATTCTGTTTAGACTTTATCAGTAACCCCTGCAACTCGAGGTTTGTGGTTAGGGGAAGACAACTTAACCTGCACCCATTCTAAAGCGTGGGTTATCCTCTTCAAGTGTCGTGAGTCAGCACCTGTGATCTGTTCCAGCTCACTCTCTTTCAGCTTGAGCATCTGGTCGAGGGTGGTGATGTTGCCGTCTGTGAGAGGCTTGAGGTACATGGGCAGGCCAATGGAGATGAGGAAACTTTGGACAGATGAGATCTGCAGGTCACAGGCGTGCTTGCATGAATCACTCAGGCTCTCATTTTGTATCTGTAGCAGGGGGGATAATACAATTAGTTATGTGGTATTTGCAGCAGCATAGAAAGCACATGGTGAAAGCAATTAAATAAGATTTTAAGGTAATCTATCGTTTTGGGTACGTAAAATCGCCCGCGATTTGTAATGTGAAAAACAGGTGACTCCTTAAATTTTAATAATTATTTCACATTTTGAGGAGGATTTATGTTTTAAAAAATTCAAAAATGTTTCCTTGATTCATTTATGTACCTGTTTTTAAACAATTGAATTAAAACTTTTCCGTAATAAATGAAGACTAGCGATGTTTCCAACAGATGCAACCATGCTCATCTACTATAGCAGCCATCTTGTCTAAGTTTTATTTTTATAAGCTTTTAGCGCCAGATTCAGGGGGAAGCCACTCTATTTTACAAATGGCTGCTGTTTATATAGCAAATCTTGCTCTCAGACACTGCTGTTTAAAGTTAATTTCTGGCCTATATCGATATATTTAGCCATTGATTTAGGTTTATTATTCATTTATCTATAATATTTGACACAAAAGTACGACAATATACTAATATACTTCTATTAAAGCCTTGACAATGAGGTAACGTTTTCGTACATAAATAGCCGCGGGCGATTTTACGTACCCAAAACGATAGATTACCGATTTTAATAATCATGCTGTATGGTTTTAAAGTAATATTCAATTGAAATGTTAATAGAAGCATTTTAAAAAATTTTTGAAAGAAAAAAATACAAATAGATAAATAAAAGTAAACTATTCATTGTTTATAAATTTATAAATTGCCACATGCTAATATAAATTAACATCCACAACCATGGCAAAAACATATTTTTTAAAATTATGCAGTAGATAAATAGATAATATAATTATTGTTTTAAAGTCAAGAAGTTCATGATACAAAATATTTTGATTGTTAAAACAAAACAAAGGCTAACAGTAAAGTAAAAACTCTATCTCTCATTCCTTGATGCTTGACTGCTAGTTAAAGCCAGACTTAACAGCCAACTTACACAAGGTCTCCCCAGTGCTCTCAGCTGTTTCTCCCTGATTTGTTCTATCACAAGAGCCATCGTGTCCATCTCTTGACGCAGTTCTTCAGAATAGCGCTGGACCAGAAGTGGCGGGATTCCACAATGACCAATCTATAAATATAAAGAAATCCTATAAATAAAATACAAACATAATTTCTTAGGATTAATCTATGAATACAGTTAAAAAGAAATCATAGAACTGTTATACAAATCCAACTTCTCATAAAAAGATTTTTTTTTTTGTTTGGGGTTAGGGGTGAGAGAGGGTTTCAAATGTTTTAGAGTCTGGTGGTAAAGTTCTCACTATAAAAATTTAAATGGTTGATAAGCAGCATAGACAAACTAGAAATTAATTCATATTTTATTCATAGTATGCTAGTGACTTGGCTTTAAATGACTGATTCTTTTACACTATAAACTGGAGTTTTCTGTGTATTTATGATTCTGGCTCACAGTTGCTCAACCTTGGTGTCTATATCCCCCAGGTGTGATAAGGTTAAAGTTAAGATCTTTTTTCTAAAACAAAAGGAAAGACTTACAGCTGTACTGTAGGGGATCTGTGTCAGGTTGATTCTCTCCGCGCTGAGCTTGGTGGTGACCAGAGGCATCAGTGACCTGGTTGGGCTCTTCAGCTGACCAGAGCTGGCATCAGACTTCTCTGGCGTCTGACCCCTGCTGTACAGCGTGGCCATGCCGGGCGCTTCCGTGGTTTCAGTTTGTTTGGCCCAGTCCGGCACCAGGGGTGGGTTGGGCTCTGTCTGGAGGGTGAGGGAGACTCCTTGGTTGGCGCTGGAGTCTGTTAGGGCTAAGGTTAGCGGCGAGGCAGCTGTGAGTCTGACAGGAAGTCCTGTAGCAGCTGGAGCAGGGGACGGCAGCTGGGAGGGCGTGGTTCTGCCTGCGATGCTGGAAAGAGTTCTTTCGTAAATTGGATGTGAATACTGTTGCTGGTAAAAGTAAAACGGCTGGACTCTGTTTGGGCTGGCTTTAGTCATGTACCCTGGGGAAGTGATTGAGCAGTCGATGAGGTTTGATCCCGCGCTGTTGTTGCTGTCGTCGTGGTCTGGGCTGAGGCACGTGGTTTGCGTACAGGTAGAGCTGCAGGACATCTTAGAAGACTTGCTGTCTGACCTCATCGTCGTGTTCACGTAGTGGCGGTACGGGAAGCACTGGGGGCAGGAGGCGTAGGTGGCGCACTGCACACAGGAGCTGCTCTCACAGAGGATGCTCTCGTCGCACTGCTGGCACCCTGAAGAAGGAACGCAGGCTTTACACACCACACTGCTGGGCATCTCCAAGTGAGGGGAACCCCCTGTCATTGTCTGGATGGGGGTGGAGAGTTTCCTGCTCTGGTTGGTGCCACATGTTATTGCTATCACTTCCTGGTCTTCTTCTGTTAGTGACACCCGGTCACCGACGGAAGGTTTTTTATCACTTTTAGCCACAAGCCCGGTATTACCCACACCTTTGAATGTTTCAAGGGTGGGGGTTGAATTATGATTGTCTGCGACGTTGAGCTCGGTGAGTGTGCGTGAAGCGGACATGACGTAATGAGGGTGGCCGTGAGCGTAGTGGCTATGCCCGCCGACCTGGTGGTACCCGTAATATCCGGAGGTGTAGGGCACGGGCATTTGTTGGAGGCTGCCATATTGGAAATGTCCGGGGGCATAGGGGGAGTGTTCCAGCCCATGAGAGGTGTGTCCTGTGGTGTAGTGAGAGTGAAGCTGAGTTGGGTATTGTCCTGGTACGTAATGAGAGGTCCCGCCTGGACTGCTGTACTTGCGAGGCTGCTTCGGCTTCCCACAGGACCGGCAGGACGAATGGGACTTAGGGCTAGAGTGGTGTCCCCTGTCTTTCCTTAGCTCCCCTGCCCTGTGCCTGGTCTGCTGCTTCAGTCCTTCACTGCCAGTGTAGCAACCAGAATCACAGCTAGAGTTGCCTGCTCTTGATGAAGGTGAGTCCATGTTGGTTATTGTGGGGGTGTGAGCATTGACTTTATCTGAAATGTAACATAAAAAACCTTTTAAATAAAGATATTGCAAAAAGAAGTTTACTTTCGAATTAATTCTAATTAAAATAATATGAAAACAAAATTCCATTCAATATTTTCATAATTTTGATCATAAAAAAAACAAGACTGAGATAATTATGATTTATAAAATAAATTCATAAAAAACGACACTTTTTTAGTATAAGTAGGCTACATCTCATAAAATAAAGATACAATTCAAAACTTTAAGAAACAACTAATAGCTCATGAAGAAAAAATAACACAATTTCTAAAGCAAAAACAAATTTTCAGAGAAAATTACAAGAGAAACATTACAAATATTACCATTCCAATCTCCCAGGACTTTGGCTGCAGATAAAAGTTTATTCCTCTGGTCTTGGTCACTGATGTGTAGTGTGTCAAGGTCATGGTCATCCAACTCAGAAAATATGTCAAGGTCATCATAACCATTGAGCAGAAACAAGTTGGAAAGATGCTGAGAGCAGAAAAAGAACAAAACAATAAGTAAATCATAGTTACAGAATTATATAAAGTTATTAAAAATATAACTATAAAGTTAAATCTAAAAAGGACTTTAACAACCTTTGTTGAAATTTTGTTGGAATAATTTTACCAAGCTTAAAGCTGTTAAGTGTTAAAAAATTCCATTATTTTAACCTTATTGTTGAAGTGTATTGTTTTCAAAGTCCAATAAATTGTTACTCACCCCTAACCCTATCCTTTGCAGCAAGTCGTCAACAGATTTTGGAATGTCTTTTTGGCCACCAATAATTTGGCCATTGGTCGGCGTTTTATCTGGCTCAATGATAACCTCCACATGTTCAAAGCGGAACTTCCCTCGCTTGCCATTGACAACACCTCTCCACACACCAGACTGAGCCATGTTCATGATGTTGACTATCTCTCCCACCTGATAACATCAAAATAATTCATGTAACTTACAGAGCACAACCAATATAGATTTCTTACTTTTCCTACTACAAAAAAGAAAATTTAAGAAAAAGAAAATTTAAGAAAAAGAAAATTTAAGAAAAAGAAAATTTAAGAAAAAGAAAATTAAAAAAAAAAAATTTAAAACAAAATGAAAACCTACTAATCATAAAGGACTTTTTCAAAGTTTTTACCTGTGCTTTATTTATAATTATTAATTAGTTCTCAGAATTATTATGAAAATAATACTTTTGAATTTTAAAATTAGACATTTGTTTCTTTTTTAAAAGTTATGTTACGTTAAATAAAAACATCTATTTACACCTAAAAATGTATGAATCTATCACTATCAATTAAAGTAAACAAAACCAATGTATAATTTTTTTTATTATATGCTTTCTTAAAATGTCATTGTTTCATTTAAATCTAAAACTAAATATTAACATGAAAATGACTATGAAATAATACCTTTAATGGGACAAAATCATCCTCATCTGGACCAGGTGTGTAGTCCACAATTACCTTTGCTTGACCCAGGTAAGGGCCGGCATAAAGGGGGGTTCCCACTGGGGCTGTGGAGATATATAACACTTTATAGCTACTTGAACCTTCAGTAACACTTTATAGCTACTTGAACCTTCAGTAACACTTTGTAGGTAATTTATTTAACCTTCAGTAACACTTTATAGCTACTTGAACCTTCAGTAACACTTTATAGCTACTTGAACCTTCAGTAACACTTTGTAGGTAATTTATTTAACCTTCAGTAACACTTTATAGCTACTTTATTTAAACTTCAGTAACACTTTAATTGACTTTATAGCTTTTTTATTTAAACTTCAGTAACACTTTATAGCTACTTTATCTAAACTTCAGTAACACTTTGTAGGTAATTTATTTAACCTTCAGTAACACTTTATAGCTACTTTATTTAACCTTAAGTAACACTTTATAGCTACTTTATTCAACTTTCAGTCTGCAAACACAATGCAAGTTATGCAGTTTGTCATGGTGTAGAGTAGTTCTATTTAAATTATCATCTAGAATTTTCTAGATCATGTATCAGTTGATTAAAATGTAGTTTTTATCTGCCTATTTGAATTATTTAAAAATTAGTTAACCTGATTATTACCTAAATAACAATTTTACTGACTTTAGTGATTAAGTAATAATGTGACTGTGGCTTAGTTATTGTTTTATCGAACAGTTACCTAATTAAGAATTTTTCCTACTTGTTGCCTAATTATAAATTTTCCTGAATGTTGTCTGGTTAAAAATTTGACCTGTCTAAAACAAAATTTACCTGATTGTTGCCTAATTAACGGGGGTCTTGCTATCACAGCTTCTTTCACTTTTGTGGATTTCTGGGAGAATTAACATTTTTGTTGAGTTTAAATCAACGTGATTGTAGAATAAAATTTTTTCTACAAGACAAAATATTACTGTTCTCATACGGTGAAAGCAAAATGTATAATAAGTAGATCTACACATATGTTAATTTAATCATAACACAAATGTGAATAAATTACACTCAACACAAACCTTGTTATCTCTTCCTTGAAATGTTTTAGAATCAGGTTTTTTCAAACTCTGGAAAAAATAGACAAAAATTTACTTTCAAATCATGATAACATGTATAATAATTTCACTGACAAAAATGAATGATATTATATATGTATTAAGTTAATTGTTTAATTTTTATTCAAAATGTTTTAAATTAAAGAGATAACCATAAGGCTTACATTTTCTGTATCGTCATTTTCTGAGGATATCCCATCATCCCCTATACTACAGCTTGCACTGCGGTGACACTGAAATAGTTCATTGAAAATAACATTTATTTCTAATTTTGTTTCACCTCCATGTGGCAGCGTGGCCTAGTGGTAGAGAGCTAGACTGCTAACGTGAAAGTCTCTAGTTTGAATACAGGTTTAAATAAGTAGAATGTTCCTGGGTCCACCCAGCTCTGCCGCGTACCTAACTCACATTACGTAAAACAAAGGTGGCTGAGCATAGGGCTGACCAAATTATCCTAGCTGAAATCGATGAACTCTACTTCATCTGCTTCATGTGTCTTTGTCACAAACAGGAAAAGAGATGATGATGATGATTCACCTCTATTCAACAGGTGGGTTTACTAATTTCAAAACAGTTAGGTCATAAATGAAAATGACAGATTAAATTTATTACAGACATTTGTCAAACACCTGATTTACTACGTATTAAATAATGAGTCTCTTCTTATAAAAAAATATTTAATAAAAAAAAATTATGTTAAATGGCATAAATTAGTGATAAATCATCCCATTATAAGTAATAAAGTAAATAAAGGTATTTAAAGAGATGAAGTCTAGTTTTCCTGCACTCACCTTTATCCTAGGGTCCAAGGTGTTCCCACTCTTCTTTCTACCTGTGGCAGGTGAGTTGGTGTCACTGCTCATAGAGACAGTTGAGTTGCTGTTGTAGGTCGCCGAGTCCCCCGGCCTGCGTGACATGGGGTCGGTGCGGAGTGGGGTCTGGGACCCACATTCCATGGACTGGTCTGACCCAGAGGACAGGAGGGATGTCCTGTGAGAAACAAAAAATGTATCAGTCTTACTTTTGTCTTATATGGGAGTCATGCAATGCTACCCTGATCAGTGTTTCTCAGAGGCGTAGCGAGCGACCCTTCCTGGCGCCCGGGGACAAACTTTCGATTTGTACCCTCCCCCCCCTCAAACTTTTGATTTGCACCCCCCCCTCAAACTTTCGATTACTTTTTCCAAACCATTAGTCCCTCCCTGCCCCCCCCCCATTGCTACGCTTCTGGTGTTTCTTCCAGATTTTTTTTCTCCAAGGGGGGTGGGGGGAACGACATGACACTGTTAAATGTATATATTTTCTATATAAATTCCTATTCGATTGGGGGGGGGGGGTGGACTCTCTTTGTGGAGATGCCTGGAAAAAACACCTCCCCTGATATGGCAATTGTTATCAATGTAGCAGGTAAGAGATCTTCCACAGGACTTTAAAACATCAAATGTAGATGATAAAATTTAAATGTTGTAAAACTAATAAAAAGAGAAAATTAAATATAATAATCAAGCAGCATCTAATTATGATTGATAGTTTAAAAAAATAATTGATCAAGCTTTGCCATGAAAATAATAAACAAAACTCCAGTTGATTTACAGTTAAGTTATGAAAGTTTTGATGTTACACAATGCTCACTTTGATGAAGTTTTTGGCACAAAGTTGATAGTTTAAAGCAGCATAAGCTTAAAATTGATAGCTTAAAACATATTGTTTAAGCATTGTGATGAAAATAACAAACAAAATTGCAGTTGATTTGTAGTTAAACTATGAATGTTTTGATATTACACGATGCTTACTTTGATGTTACACGATGCTTACTTTGATGTTACACAATGCTTACTTTGATGTTACACAATGCTTACTTTGATGTTACATGATGCTTACTTTGATGTTACACAATGCTTACTTTGATGAAGTTTTTGGCACAACGTTGATGGTTTAAATCAGCATAAGCTTATAATTGTAAGTTTAAAACATATTGTTTAAGCTTTGTGATGAAAATAACAAACAAAACCACAGTTAAAATTATGAAAGTTTTGATGTTACATGATGCTTACTTTGATGAAGTTTTTGGCACAACGTTGATAGTTTTCCCTGTAAGACGCTCTCTGAGGGCTTCAACCTTGTTGAGGTTGTGATGGTGGTGATGGTGGCTGGTGGCTTGATGGTGGCCTGGGCTGTGGAGCTTGGCTAAAGACGACTGGTCAGCCTGCAAGGCCATCTGTGGAAAACAAAATATTTAATTACATTTTATTTATCAGTTTTAGTTCTCTGGCAACAGTTTTTGAGCCCACCCAGCTTAAATAGGTACCTAGCTTTAGTTGGGAACAACTAAATTTAAAGGTATAGTGTTTATCACTCAGTTCTTTCATATAATATGGCTACAGAAACAGGCAAACTCTACTTCATTTACTATATATACTAGCAGGTCTTAAAAAAGTCATTCACCTTTGTCATAGAGTCAACTTTCATGGTATGCATAAGCAAAATCATAATCAAACTCATAATTTCAGTTTAGTTCTCAATATCAGCTAGCCATTAATTAGAAGGTAATAGGGTTGGTAAGTAGGTCACCAACCAGTTCTATGGCTCATGCAGGTTTTATTGAGCCGTAGAACTGGTTGGTGACCTACTTACCAGCCCTATTAGAGAGTGGCGGATACAGAACAGACCTACTCCAAGTCTCATGCAACAGGGTCAACAAACCTTCTGTCCAGGTGAACAGGCAGGTGAGCAGGAAACAGCACGGGTCAAGGCCATCTTATCCAGCTGAAGGTCATGCTGAAACTCCTGCTGTGGACGGAGGTGCGGGACATCCAGCTGACCCAGACTGTGGACCCTGCGCTGGCGACAGATCTGGTGGTCACACAGCAGCTCCTCCTCTGTCACCTGGGGGCTGGTCTGGCACCTTTGGGGGTCATCTGAGGGGTTAGAACGTTCACATGTTTACTGACTGTTTGTTGTTTTGTTATTGAGCTGAGACTTGTGATTGGTTCAATAATACTAGCCTATTCCTTGTTAACAGTGTTAGAGGAGCCAGTGGCGTAGCGAGGTCGGGTGTCACCCGGTGCGGCACTTAATGGTGTCACCCCCCAGAGGCGTAGCGACCCTTCCCGGGGACAAACTTTCAAACTTTCAATTTGCACCCCCCATCAAGTTTTTGATTTGCACCTTCCCCTCAAGTTTTTCTCTATATATTTTGCTATTTTTTGCCTTGGTGTCACCCCCCTAAATGGTGTCACCCGGTGCGGGCCGCACCCCCCCTCGCTACGCCTCTGAGAGGAGCCACAAGTTTAAGTCAACAGCTAGCTATGATACATGAGAGTTTTAGAAGCCCCACTAACAAGGGTTTCTTCCAGACATATTTTTGAGGGGAGGACTCTTTTAACTTCATGTGAGCATACATTGGATAAAGTATATATTTTCTATATAATTTATGTTTTTATTTTATTGGGGGTGGGGGTGGATGTGCTCAATGGGGTGAGTACTTGTTCAATGGTTAGCTAAAACTATGTGCATGAGATAATGACATAGGAAGGTACAAGATGTGCAATTCCTGTAGTCCTAAATTAATTGTGTTGTGTTGTGTTCACTAAATTTATCTAGATTAAGTCATTTTGTACTTTTTCAACGGTAATGTAAAATCATGAGCATGTGATAATGACAAAGAAAGGCAGAAGATTGTCAATTCCTAGGGCCCTTAATAAATTGTTTAAGTTGTGGCTAAATTGATCTAGATTGAACCACTGAACAACACTGGACTGTAAAAAAAATAACCTATCGCTACAGTGAATCCATGTCTTTCATACTAACTTTAAATTTGAAAACATTTGATACATTAAGGTGCAGGACTTGCCATACAGGAGGTGATTAAATAAAGAACTCACCAGCAGAAAAGGTAGAAAGGGATTTTGTTGGTTTGTTTCCTTTCTTTTTCTTGCCAAGGCCTTTTTTAGAAGGTGTTTCCTGGACAACAAAGGTCAAAGTTCAATGTCTCTAGTATTTGTGGTATTTCAAGTTAAACTAATTTGATCATAATTTTAAAGCAATAGAAACATGACTGAATATCACATAGAGTATAATCTAAATTGACTTGTTTTATGTAAACTTTAATTAAATGCAGGTTTTAAAAATACAAACTAATTAATTGCAAAAAAGGTACAAAAAACAACTAGTTGGAATTTGTTTTAAGATTTTTGTTGTATAGCAAGACAAGGAAAGAAATGTAATGTTTATTAGGGAAGATGGAAAATATTTTTTCCTTTGATTTATGTCTCTCTTTGTTTGATGGATGTCTGTCTTTGTTTGTCTATTGGATGTCTGTCTTTGCCTGATGGATGTCTCAGTCTGTCTCTGTTTGATGGATGTCTGCCTTTGTTTGATGGATGTCTGCCTTTGTTTGATGGATATCTGCCTTTGTTTGATGGATGTCTGCCTTTGTTTGATGGATGTCTGTCTTTGATGGATGTCTGTCTTTGATGGATGTCTGTCTTTGATGGATGTCTGTCTTTGATAGATGTCTGTCTTTGATGGATGTCTGTCTTTGTCTGATGGATGTAAGACATAACATTGATCTAATGCCCTAACACCAACATGCCAGCTAAGAGCCAAGTGTCAGCAGTATAAAAATAAAATACCACCTACACAAACATTCTCTTTACCATCCTCCAAACCTCCACGGTTCAGCCTCCTCTCCTCCTCAAACTTCTGCACCTGTTGAGATAGATGAGTGAGATCAACTGGACTGAGGCAATAATATATTGGACTGACGTAACAATAAAATGGACTAAGGTAATAATATATTGGAGTGAGGCAGTGTTTCTTCCAGACTTTTTTCTCTGAGGGGTGGGGGGGGGGGGGGGGGGGGAGGACGGGACACTGTTAAAAAATATTTTTTCTATATAAATTTTATTTTATTTTCTTGGAAGAAACTCTCGACTGAGGAAGCATTAAATTTGACTGAGGTAACAATAAAATGGACTGAGGTAACTATATAGGTCTGGGTAATAATGTTTTAGATAGGGGAATAAATATATAGGACTGAGGCAAAAGTGTAATGGACTGTGGTAACAATACATTAAGATGAGGTAGAAATTTATTGGACTGGCAGAAATAATTGGACAGAAGGTAAAAATTTATTGGACTGAGGTAACAATGTAGTGGACAAGGGCATAAATATATTGGATTTGGGCAGAAATATATTGGACTGGGGCATAACTATATTGGTCTGTGAGATACATATATTGGACCGAGGCAGAAGTGTAATGGACTGTGGCATTAATACATTATGCTGCGGCAGAAGTATATTGGACTGAGGTAACAATACATTCCATAGAGTCAACAACAAATTGGACTAAAGTAACAATATATTGTGAAGTGACACTTCAACAATAAGATTAAAATGATGGGATTTTTACCACTAAACACAATACATTTCAACATTATGATTAAAATGATGGAGCTTTTACCACTAAAAAAGTTTAAGCTTAGTAAAAATATTTAAACAAGATAAACAAAGACTGTTAAATTACACAGACAATTAAAAAGCAAAATGAAAACCATTATCTTAATTAAATTCTGGCAAGACGCATATTAAATTACTATACAAATATACAATTTCACTTTTAAAATGTCATGTATAAAGGGGAAGTAATGATTTTTAATGCATAATCATTATATTTTCCTGCAGAACATTCTCGAGAAATCTACTAAGGGTTATTATCAATTATTATTTTGTGGTTTAGAATTTTAAAACCACCATGACAACCATTAAAGAAAAACTGAATGTGGAAATGTCAAGATTATTTGCTATCTCTCTAAATAAAAGGAACTATTTCGCTGAGCAGTTAAGGATTTCTTCCCTCCCCTGCAGTAATAAAATTACTTTTATCCAGAGTTTCCGTTCTTTTTTGCCGGCTGTTATTTTTTTTATATATTTTTTTTTATTTGATGTTGAAGACTCCATCCATCGTCACTAAGTTAAAGGTAGTCAAGATGAGCTATGTTAAATGTTACATTTCGTTCGTGTGTAGGGGAGAGGGGTGGGGGTGAGGGGGGCGCTATAAGACCACCTAGGTAGTTCACATACTGCTCGCCATGCTATTGTAACTCTCCATGTATCAACATTAGCCAAGATGGTGGTCTACGGGTTTTCCCGAAACACTTGTACACAAACCAAATAAACTCAAAGGGTTGATCCTTCGCTGGGTGACGTCACAGTTCAAAGGTCGCCGCGAACGTAAACACAGAAACCTACATGGGGGCCGCGCATGTTTTTTTTAATTGCTTGATTTGTGCGTCTGACAGTGTGCACGCGGAAACAAGCAGACGTTTGTTCACGTCGGTGAGTATTCAATGAAAGAAGCAGCCGTCTTGTGCAGAAAATACATCAGTTTGATTCACACAAGAGAAAAATGGCGGTTTTTTTTTTTCGTCGCAAGATTACGGTGCCCATGTGCAATGAAACAAGCAAGAACAGATTTTTGGTGCCCATGCCAGAAACAATTACAGATCTTAGATGCCCATTCCCTTGCAACAACAAATCGTTGGTGCCCATGCCCCATGAAACAGTAAGAAAGTAAAGTTCCCTTTCAAACCTAACGGTGTATGGGGCAAGTGAAGTAGAGTTCACTTGTTTCTGTGACCTCGGCATATGAAGAGGACGGTCTACTGGCTTGAACCCGGATTCGAGACTTACGTCCAGCTCTCTACCGCTAGACCACTCCGTCTTCCCACGAAACAAGAAAGAACAAATCGTTGGTGCCCATGCCCCATGAAACAAACAAGAAAACTGTGTACCCATGCCCCATAACACAAGCAAGAACAGATCGTTGGTGGCCTAGTGCACGTTATTAAACCAACGAGGTTTCACCTCATCAAACGTGCGACACGGCCGCCCTGGCATCAGGTTTCAGTTAATTGGTAGCAACACAATTTGATGCGATGATTACAGCGTCAGATGAGTTTAGGCCATGCAACAACGTCAGGAATGTTCAACAACACCAATCAGAGCCAAACACAAAACTTAGACAAAAATAAATAGATCTAGGCCCTATCATTAGTATGAAGAAATAGCACGTCGACAGGGGGCCTGTATCTTGTCTTAACCTTTGCACGTGGGTACAACCAGACAACATTGACTGCTCATCTTACCCAGCTTAACGTCAACAAATATGGCGTCAGTTCCGGTCTATTGTGTTTTGCTTGTGGCCACGTGTTGGCGTGGTGTGTGCGTGCTGGCACGGGAGGAAGGGCAGGCTCCCCTCCCCCCCCCCCTCGCCACACAATGTTGTTTATCTAAACATTTCATTGGTTACGTCAGCTATTCTATTGGGGCCGCCTTTTTTATTCATTACTTTTTATCCTTAGTTTTCTAACAGAGTACCCTTTTCGAATCTGATGGTAGGTGGGGCAAGTGAAGTAGAGTTCACATGTTTCTGTGACCTCATTCGAAGGGATGCTGTAGTCAGCCGCCTTTACTTTCCATAATGTAAGTTTGGTGCCCATTAGAGCTGGGTGGATTCAGGGACGTTCTACTGCCTTCAACCCGGATTCGAACTCGAGATTTTCGGGTTACAAGTCTAACGCTCTACTGTTAAAGTTCCCTTTTCAAACCTGACGGTCTATAGGGCAAGTAAAGTAGAGTTCACTTGTTTCTGTGACCTCGACATATGACCCTCTACCATTAGGCCACGCTTTCTAACAGTTACATGAACTATACCGCGTCGTTCTAAAATGGAAAATTCAAATATATTTACATCTTGCCGATGAAGATAGTATTTCCGTCTTTATTTAATACCTGATATACACTCAGAAGTTTAAAAAAATGGTATTAAGTTAAGCAAAAAAATAATTTATAGTATAATCGGTTTTTATAATCCTTACAATAAATTTAATTTTAGAGGGAAACATTTAAAACAAGGAAAAAATTCCACGGCTTTATTATTTATACTGTTTTATTATGGCCTAGATATGTTTTTTTTAAACGCTTGATCACAACACATGGGAAATAACTGGTGCAAAGGGAGGAAACTAATTTGAGTAAAAATCAAATTATCGCAAGGGTCACATTTTACGAATGGCTTCTCTTTTGTAACACGGGTGCCATGATGCCGGGTTCAATATGTGTAACAATTTTTAACTTGTTAACGTTAATGAGCAGAGGGAACGGAATGGGGAGTGGGGTGATTACGTTTTAAATTAATGTAGGTGTAATTCCCATATAGCCAGATCGCTTGCAACATCGTATTCCTCCTTGTGTGGTTTAGGAAGTCGACATTAGTGGTTCATATATGAGGATAAGTGTGGACCTTGCACTGCCGTAGTTTCAGAGTGTTCACGGACTGCTTGTCAAGAAACGAAAAGAGTGCTAATTAAAAACAGATAATAATTTAACCCTTTTAGGCCCGGTTTTGTCAGGTAAAATAACAAGGAAGAAGAGAACAGCAGCAAGAACAGGTGTAGTTTTACACTGATAATTCTGTGCTTGTCTTTTTTAATGACTTAAAAGCCGTTTGCCCGACTTAATGAAATCATTATTTTTTAATTTTTTATTTAAACAGTGAGAATGCAATTATTTTGTGTTTTCATTCGTTTGTAATGTTACTTAACATTTTTAAACAAACTGAATTTAATAACTGGAAATGTAGTTTTAATGTATGTTTTTATGAGCTCTTTCATCAAAGTAATAAAAGTGTATTTTTTAACATTATTTAAACGTATAATTGTTAGTCAAACAATTCGTCTTATTTGGACATTTGGTCTAGATGTTTGTGATCAATCGGCTATTGGTCGAACTGTTTTCGGCCAATCGGTATACGGGCAAACAAATGCATCATGTGCAGTCAAGTGTCTAAAAATTTGTTTTGTTTTTCTTAAAAACCATTTGAATGTAATGCTAAGACAAGTAGCCTGGTTGTGCTATCGCGGTTGGTGACTTACAGGTTGATTCTGCCCGTATCAAATGTTTAAAGTGATGAAAAACGAATACAGTTGTGAGATAACTCCGCATTACTCGCGTCTACCCAACCAAAATGAACACCGTGTTGGATCGTAGCGTAAAAACAACACAGCCCAATGCACGTGCACGAAGCACTGTCAATACAAAGTCACGTGACGTATGTTGATGCTAAAGCGGGCGCATAAAGTGGCAGTGGCCCAAATGTGCCAGACGAATATGAGTTTTAGCTTTTGCTGGAATCTGTTGTTTAGCAATCTAAAAATGGCGCTTTTAACGTGCCCGAAAAATGACAATTCCCTTTTGATTGTTGTTCCCCCTGGGGATCATAGGACCGACACGACACATTCACAGCAACTCAATTTACAGAAACTTTCTTGATATCAGACCGTAAAATTCTAATGCCTTTTTTTTTCAATGGCCGAGATGGTAGCCGAGCTAGTTATTTTTTTTTTTTGAGGTAGAGGTAGTTGTTTTTAAAGTAATTATAGTTCCATTTATTGTTTATCTAGTAATACTCTTTGATTTTAGTAAGTCCAGAATTCTTTTAACAATATTTGTTATCAGCATAACTTTAGATCACTAAATTATGTTGTTTATTATACCTGGTTGGTGCTTTTTTTTTTTAATTTGGAGATACTCGTCCCAAAGAGGTGTGGGGGTGGGTGAAAGATGCGGTGTAGAGAGAGGGAATAAAAACCACCACGACTACAAATCTCACAAAGACTACCACAACCAGCATACACGAAAAGACCACTACGGCCACCAATCATACTGAGACCACAAAAGAAGACCGCCACAACCACCTAATCACAGATAGACCACCACGATGCAAAGACCACCACATCCACCAATCCACAAAAAAACCACCACCAAACAAAGGCCACCACGACCACCAATCTCACAAAACACCACCACCAGACGAAGACCACTACGACACAAAGACCACGACGACACAAAGACCACCACGACCACCACGATACAAAGACCACCATTACACAAAGACCACCACGACCACCACCAGACAAAGACCACCACGTCCACTAATCTCACAACAACAAAAAACACCACGATACAAAGACCACCACGACCACCAATCTCACAACAAAAAAAGCACCACCAGACAACGACCACCACAACCAGCACTTACCACAGCCAGCGCCGTCTGCGTGCTAATCTTCCCCTCCTTGACCAGTATCATCAGCGCCATCCTATCCTCGTCGCTCATGCTAATCTCGTAAGCGTTTAGATCACCTGGAAAGTCGAGGTAATCTGAACTTGTCAATGAGAGGATGACAGGTGTGTGTACAAGACCTACCCGTTTATCTACCCGCTTTATCGCCCCACCTGACACAGGTAGAGATATAACATTTCCTCTTTATTCTCACTAATAGCGTCCCATTATCATACCGTTTTTTTTTTCGTGTTTACAGAAAGGTTCAAGCAAAAAACCCATTACATTTATCAACTATGCCATCCCCCCCCCTCTCCCTATCATTCACATTTTTTGTTGTATATACGTACTTGTACATGATATAGGCTACACGCTTGTATTTGAGGTAGTGTCTACATAGTTGTACGAGCAATAAGGCGTGTAAAAGCGTGTGCAATGAAATACAAATATGTATGTATAGCCTACTGCACGTTTGTACACAATGTTTGCAACACGCATGTACAAAGTGCATACTACATTACTGTATTAAAGTGAAACCTAAAATTGTGTGCACAATGTACATACACGCTTGTACACACCTACAGTATACGCGTGTATATAATGTACCATACACGCTTGTACACAGTGTAGCCTACAATCTAGTACACGCTTGTATGTACATAATGTAAAGCATTCGTTTGTATGTACACAATTTACCCTACATGCCTATGTACAGTCTGGCCTACAATCTTGTAAACGCTTGTGTAAACACAATGTACTCCACAGGGTTATACACAGTGTAGCCTACACGCTTGTACACTGTGTACTCACTAGTACACGTCTACTACCCTGATGCTGCCTGTTTGTACACAATTATGCCACACGCCTGTACACTCTGTACCAGCCAGATATTCCCGTATACCGTGTAACACACACTCCCGTACACTGTGTACTCCCACACTAAAATACATATGTACCCACTTGTACACGTCTACTACCGTGACTCTGTACACTGTGTACCCCCCACTCCAGGTGTACCCCACACTCCCGTACACTGTGTACCCCCACACTCATGTACACTGTGTATCCCCCACACTCCCGTACACTGTGAATCACCACTCTCACATACACAGTGTACCCCCACATTCCTGTACGCTGTGTACCCACTTGTACACGTCTACTACCCTGATGCTGCTTGTATGTACACAATTACGCCACACTCCTGTACACTGTGTACCACCACACTCCTGTACACTGTGTACCCCCACACTACACAGTGTACCACCACACTCCTGTACACTGTGTACCCCCACACTCCTGTACACATATACCCACTTGTACACGTCTACTACCTTGATGTTGCTTGTAAGTCCCCTTCCTACTGGAGCGCCTGAGGCCGATGTTCCGTAGAAATCTGCCGAACACAGAGCCACTTTTTTTCTTGTCTTCAGTGCCACCTGTCTGCTCTGTCAAGTTGAAAGGGAAACAATCCATGTTAACCTCAAAGCGAACTTGATTAGAGCTCAGCACATTTTTTTTCAATCATTAGAATAATTTCAATACAATAATCATTGCCAAAACAAAACTTAAAAACGCGAAAAAATAATATAAAAAACAAGCAAAATGTAGTACACTTTAAATTAAAATGTTTTTTTTTTTTAAATATTTGGCTTCATAAAAATAGTAATAATTACGTTGAGAGAGTTTTTTTAAATTTAAATGTATCATATTTTAAAATAATAAAAGCTTTGCAAGCTTTGTTGTAGATAAACTTGTTTAGTAGGTTATATTAGGTTATAATGTTATGTGGATGCAGTAGAGAGAGTAATGGTTTCCGGAAAGCTATTAATATTTTTTTTAAATCAACCATTGTAGCGCAAACATCATGCAGGAAGCAGTAGTCTCCGAAAGTATCCAGATGGAGCTAGTGAGGTACTGTTAGAGTACTAGACTAAAAACACAAGTTTTAATTAGCGTTGGTGCTAGAGATTATGGCTAAGTGCTGATTGGTGCATTTATAAAAGCGAAAGGTTGCAGGAGAGAATACACTAATAGCTTTAGCAGATACAATGGCGTCAGCATTTTACTGGGTGTTTTATTTGAATCCTTTTTTGTGCGTTTTATTTTAATCTTTTTTTTTTTGAGCGAATGTTTTTCTTTGTACTTTGTTTTTTTACATACTATAACAGAGGTTACAAAATTTGCTTTTTAAAAATAATTGTTTGATTTTTAAAAATTAATGTTCCAAAACTATAAAAAATATTTTTTAAGCATGCCCTTTTAATTTAGATGCAAGTTGTTAACGCATGCGCGTTGCAATCGCTATGTGCATCACTTCAATTTTTTATTTTTATTTTAGAAAACCGTTTCAAATAATTGTTATTTGGAGGAATACATACATTAGTACAGGCTCAAAAAGCAATTTATTAATTAGTGAAAAATAAAAATAAAAGAAATAAATAAAATCAACCAAAATGTGTGTACCTTTGATAATTTTTCGAGGAAAAAGACAACATACTCCTAAGATTAAAAAAATATCGTGTTGAAAATTTAACAAAAAAAAGGGCTTTTAAAATGATGATATGAAAAGAAAAAAAAATGAAGCGACAATGCAGAAAAAAAGTGTGGAGCCGAGGTGAAGCTATCACAATGTGAAGCTATCACTATGTGAAGCTATCACTATGTGAAGCTATCACAATGTGAAGCTATCACTATGTGAAGCTATCACTATGTGAAGCTATCACTATGTGAAGCTATCACTATGTGAAGCTATCACTATGTGAAGCTATCACTATGTGAAGCTATCACTATGTGAAGCTATCACAATGTGAAGCTATCACTATGTGAAGCTATCACTATGTGAAGCTATCACAATGCCAAAGTCTATTTGTTGTTCCTACACCGCCTCCCCCAACATACACACATATCCCCTTACAATCCCTTAACGATTCACCGACACGTTTTGTCGTCCAATGCGCACATTCTGATTTTTCACATGTAGATATACAAAATGCGTTGCTTACTTATATACATGAACCAGTTCGCAATTTAGCCCACCTCATCATGTTTATACATAAGCAGAATTACCTCAAGTATGTCTGGGGGGGGGGGGAGACAACCACCCGACCCTTGTAACCCCACTGTACTTTTCTTTCGTCAAACCTACACTATGTTCGACAACACTGAAGTCACTCATATGTATCGATATTACAGTAATCAATATCACCAGAGCAGGCTCCACCGTTAAGCTAGCTCTGGAAAGTGGGCAGAAATACTTCAGGATTATTCCAGTATTCGATACCACCCCGCAGCCTTCATTTAAAGACAACCGTAGTTGACAAGCCATGCGGTCAACGATTGTATCGTTATTTCAGTAATCGATACCACCAGATACCATAAACAGAACTGTAATGAAGGTCAGCATCGACTATCTTTATTCCAGTAATCGATACCGTCAGATAACATCAAGAGAGCGGTTTTGGAGTCCAGCGAAAGACTAATCAATTTAAAGATTTGTTGCGGGTTTTTTTCTTTTTGTCCACAGTCAGCTTGCAAGACGGCTCGTGGACGTATTTAACTGAAGCATATTCGAGTTTCATTATTTCATTGCTATTGATTACCGGGGCGGGGGTAGGAAGTGGAGGGTAAACCGTCATGGTTCAGAAACCAAAAAAAAAAATAATCATCTCACTGGGCATGATTAGATTGAGTATCGAGCTGGTCCATCTGCCTTCAACACGATACCCAGACTTGAAGAACTTCGAATATTAAACTTTGAGTATTAAATTTTTAGTCACGGTTGCTCCAACGTCGTCACAACCCCCCCCCCCCCCCCACAATTACTCCATATGCAACAATCAAGTTTCATCAGCTTCAATTAAAAATGTAATCACGTTGCCTAGAACTAATTCCAAGGAGCTTCGTGAAAACAACAAAAATGGATTTTTAAAGTAATTTTTTTTTTAAATTAAAAAGACAGCGAAATTAAACTTCTATTCTCGGATGATTTGTTAATTTAATATAGATCTATATAAAGTGTAATTTGATAGTTAATTTTAAACCTTGATTACATTTTGCTAATTGCTTTAGTAGAAGTGTAGATTCACTTAATGGGTTTCTGGGGCGGTAATTTCTTCAACAGGTTTCTTGCGTACCTCGAAACGTGGTATCATAGTACCACTGCGAGTTACAGAAAGGTTTCTTACGTATCTCGAGACGTGGTATTATAGAACCACTACGAGTTATAGAAATGTTTCTTGCGTACCTCGAGACGTGGCATTACAGTACCCCGAATAGATTAGAGCATTTCGTCATTTTGTGGACATCAAAGAAAAATTTAAAACGTCGAGAAGTAAAAGAGGAAATAGCGTGATAGCGTGGGCCATGTTTCATACTTCAGACTTTTTAACTTCTCATTTAAGATAATTGTTGGGGTTTACCAGACTTTTAAGTTCTAAGTTTGGATTATAAGCAAAGTTTTAAAATGTAGGTAAAGATTGTAAAAGACACTTGTTTAAATGCAATGTCGACAAATCATTTAAATAAAAAAAAAAAAAAAAAAAAAATTAAAAAATTGAAATATTATTGAATTTAATATTATTTGTAAAAAGTACAAGGATTCTTTAAAATTGATCCAACCATCGTATTAATTTGACTGACTGAAAAAGCGTAATCGTATAATTACTGCGTCTTTAAATGTTAATTTACAAAAAAAAAAATACAACAATTAATCCTTTTAGAAACTGGACGAGATTAATAATTATTAGATGACGTCATCACGTCTGGTTTATCGTGTCCAGAAATGCCCGAGTTATTGGACAGCGTCATTGGTTGCTAAGAGCACAAAGCGCAGGGCACATAAAACAGATAAAGAATTTTTTTTTAATGTTGACACACTATTAATAGCAATCCGATGTGAAAGAAGAAAAAAAATATAAACAACTGATCAACAACAAAAAATAATTGTTGCCACACTATTAATAGCAATCCGATGTGAAAGAAGAAAAAATATAAACAACTGATCAACAACGAAAAATAATAATCAACTCCCATTAACAACAACAAAAATATTTTTTTAAAATGGTTAAGTTTAGGTTAAAGGTTCAAATCTGTTATCAACACGTCCTCAACATGCTATCGTCTGAGCTTTAGTGCTTATTTCCCTTCAGTATGCAATTATTGGTTTTTTAGTGTTCCTAAACAACGGAAGAAAATTTCCGACACTGCCTAATAAATAAGACCACATAAATTCCGCGTATCTAAAAACTAGCCTGTTTTATTGCTTACACAAGAAATCGCGCCGTTCTAGTTTAATGTTAAACACAAAGATAACCCGTAAACAATCTAAATGGCCAGATTTTGGCCGTGACAAAGGTCAAATCAGGTTTTATAAAATAATCTTATTGTAATGAAATTCCTGATGAAACATTAATTAGCTGATAGGTGGTGTTACAACGCCCTACTAATTAACTTACCTCCGTCCATTGCGACATAATTCTGGTGCGCAAACGGGTCCGTTCTGTAAAAAAAAATTAGAACAAAAAATCAAACTTTTGTTTGAAAATAGTTATGACAATAGTCACATGTAAACAAATGTGGGAGGTTGTGTGTAGGAAGGGGGGGGGGGGCGTAGTTAAATTAAGAGATGCTTAACTAAGCAGATTTTTTACTTTTGATAATAGGAAATGAAAAGGCATGTGTGCTTACATTTAATATGTTCAATAAATTTTTGAGAAGTAAAAAATAAATAATTCAGCTCTAGCGGGTAAAAAATCAAGCCCTTAAGAAAACAATATCTTTTGATTATGTGTAGAAATGTAAGATTATAGCCAGTGTACATTCCGATAAGGGCGAACATTAGGAGCAAGGCATTTCAGGTGGGGGAGGGGGGGGGGGATTCAGCATTGCTTTTTCTTAAATTTACTTTTTAATGCTATTTTAAAAAAATAATATTTACTATTGGGGAGGGGTGGGGGGCGGTCACATGGGCGGTGGTTCTTTTTCCCGTAATTAATGTGCTATAACTTTCGACCTTCGTGACAACATGGCTTATGATTTAGAATCACGGCCATTAGAGCGTTAAACAGCTCGGCTTCGTAAAGGGTTAAACCGAGGCTAGGTGTACATTTGAAGTGAGACACACGACTAGTGTGGTTAGTGTCTGTGGGAAAGTAAGCGGCAGATAAACGTAGGCTAAGGTATGCAGGGGCGGATAACTAGGACTGCTACTTAACATACCACAACATTAGATCACTATGTCTCCCCAAAAAAGTGGATTGGATGGATATGTTGAGAGATTTGGTAGAGTAAAAACTGGCTCTAATTTAGAGGTTACGGTAGGTCATTAAATGTAAGGTTTGCTTTATCCACCATTTTGTTTCGACCACAGACGTAGCAGTAGATGGATAAAATAGAATTCGACAGAAGACAAGTTTCGAACATAAAAAGATGATGCAACATTCACTCTACTACGCGACCACTTCCGCTATTTTATATTGTAATTAATTACTGAACAACTCTGTCAAATATTGTTTTAAATACTTTTTAAACTTAAATGCTCGTTACGTACGGCACCTAAACTAAAAGTTTTACTATACACCAAAACTATACCAAACTTGGAGTACTGTTACTGCCATTGTCTGACTATGGACCCTTCCCAAGATAGGTGTGTTCACTATTAGGTCACTAGTAGTGTTTTAATCTCAGGTTTCGAGTTACGGTCAGAAATTAGGGCTAGGGTTTGGGTTAGGGATAGGGCTAGGATTTTGGCTAGAGATAGGGTTAGGGTTTGGGCTAGGGTTAGGGTTAACGTTGACAATTTTAGCTTGCTCTTTCCTTTTTAGGAAGATTCAACTATTATGGCATTTTCAGACATGTATAACGTACACCCTCAAACCCTTTCTCGTGTCTAATCCTATATGTAACCCTCGCCGTATAATCTATATCCTCAAACCCTTTCTCGTGTCTAACCTTATATGTAACCCTAGCCGTATAATCTATATCCTCAAACCCTTTCTCGTGTCTAACCTTATATGTAACCCTAGCCGTATAATCTATATCCTCAAACCCTTTCTCGTGTCTAACCTTATATGTAACCCTAGCCGTATAATCTATATCCTCAAACTCTTTCTCGTGTCTCTAACCCTATATGTAACCCTAGCCGTATAAACTAGGTCTCTATACAGACGTAGCTCAAGTACCTAATGCCCTAACAGTGGTGTAGTACCGTGATCTCTGACCTCTTATCAAAAGATGTACCAGAGCACGTGACTATGTTAGCACAAAAGCCAGTCCGTAAGACCAACACCAAAAAACACCCTGGGACAAACACCACAACCACCACGGGGTGGCCACAAAATGAACACCAGTACAAACAAGGACGATGGACTCTTTTAATAGTCCCGACCCTCTTCAAGCACCCGTGCATCGATCTCCGCGAGAAATCAATCGCTGGCAAATTTACATTCTCGTGCGGGGGTATTGGCGAGGGAGGAAACTAATTCCGTGACAGTGTCACTGTTTGGTCGTACTCACATGGAGGGGGCAGGGGGTGGGGATAAGTACCACACGAGTTATCCAAGACAAAAAAAAAGTTGCCAGTGAACGTTGGTACATCCTTTTAGCATAGTGCCAGAATTAAACGAAGCCCACTTTTTTTTAAAAAAAGTTTTGTTACACTTAATAGCACTGAAAACACAAAAACCTTTAACTGCTACTGTTTTTAATGGGTATGTCAGAAGGAACTGTGTGTGGGTGATTTAATAATTAGTTGCATCAGGTATTATAAGTTGAATACATTATGCCAATTCGGTAAGAGCTTAGGGTTTTGTGGAGTGGTAGGCTTGGAGCCTGTCAGGCTAAAACTGTTGTTTGTTCTAGAACTATATTCTGTACATCTGTCTAACCTTGACATTGAAATAACTCTCTTCATTAATATTTCTATTTCAGTAACAACGCCTGCTTGAAACCCCTCTAGAAGTTTTGTGAGACGGCGTAGGCGGTTTTATTCTGAGGCTAAAGTATGGTTTTAAAAATGGCGTAACTGTGGGGAGCGGGCAGCGGTAATTGAAATTGGTTAATTAATGAAACAACAATGCTTGCAAGCTGTGTATCAGGTGACTAATCTAAGGGGAGGGGGGTGTTCTCGTGTATGGTTTTTATACCAGGATTAGTATAATGAGTGTGTACTAGATCTCATCTATGAGGTGTATAATAGTTCTAGTCTATGGGATGTATACTAGGATTAGTATATTGGATTATACTAGTTTTGGTATTTTGGATGTATACTGGAATTAGTAAATTTGGTGTATACTAGACCGGGGGGGGGGGGCACTGGTAAAAGTATATATTTTCTAGTGCATGAATCTGATGGTGTTATGTTTCTCGAGGGATTTCTAGTGTATGTTGTGACGACACGTGTAAATGAAAGTCTAGCGTATGTGTTACCTTATGTGAATACACTCTACGGGTCTAACGTTAAAGCATTCGTGATCCCTACGAATTCATAATTTATCCCTCACTTATGTAACACATGGGGTGTCGACATTTTAGTTCAAGTGTAAACTACTCCCAGCTTAGCCCCGGTTGATTAATTAGGTCGCGGCCCTGATTAAAACCTTTGATAAGCCGTCTGTTGCTCCGCATTAATTATTGCCATTACCTAGCCCCAAATGACAGGTAATTAAGACGTATGACTGGCCGCGTTTATTTGCTCTGCGTACGGAGAGATTTCCCTGCTGAATACTGACAACTTCATTAATTCAGTACATTAGGCATAAAAAAGTCACGTGCTTCATTGATTATATATTGCCTTAAGGAATATTCATGCTTGGCACATATATAACTTCTTATGTTGCTAAAGAAGTTAATGAAAAGAGGGAGTTTTTTTTTTAAATATTGATAAGATCAAGTTCAAACATCAAAACATAAGGAGCCGTGAAAAGTTGAAGACGTTTCGTGGACGTTAAAAGATAATTTCGCCTTTATTACTATTATGAAGAGTGAAATGTTGCTATGGATGCTGGGCATAAGATTAATATACAGCGAATGTCGCTTCTGTAATTTTTAAATTGCTAATCGTTACAATAGAGCTGGTAAGTAGGTCAATAAACAGTTCTATGGCTCATGCAGGTTTTATTGAGCCGTAGAACTGGTTGGTGACCGACTTACCAGCCCTATTGTTTACCATAACCAGTAAATTTGGATGGTCCAGTGGCAGCGTTCATTATTTCTAACTAAAGCCTCGAGTTCGGAACAAGTGCTATACCCCCCCCCCCAACGAGAACATCAAATGATAGAAACGCTGCTGGGCATAATGTTGAGCACATTATGGGCATAATGTTGAGCACATTATGGGCATAGTAAACCTCACACACGAGTGTCACTTGTAACCCTCACACACGAGTTTCACTTGTAACCCTCACACATGAGTGTCACTTGTAACCCTCACACGAGTGTCACTTGTAACCCTCACACACGAGTCTCACTTGTAACCCTCACACGAGTGTCACTTGTAACCCTCACACACGAGTGTCACTTGTAACCCTCACACACGAGTTTCACTTGTAACCCTCACACATGAGTGTCACTTGTAACCCTCACACGAGTGTCACTTGTAACCCTCACACACGAGTCTCACTTGTAACCCTCACACGAGTGTCACTTGTAACCCTCACACACGAGTCTCACTTGTAACCCTCACACACGAGTTTCACTTGTAACCCTCACACACGAGTCTCACTTATAACCCTCACACACGAGTTTCACTTGTAACCCTCACACACGAGTCTCACTTGTAACCCTCACACGAGTCTCACTTGTAACCCTTACACACGAGTGTAAATTGTAACCCTCACATACTAGTGTAAATTTTAACCCTCACACACGAGTCTCACTTGTAACCCTTACACACGAGTGTAAATTGTAACCCTCACACACGAGTCTCACTTGTAACCCTCACACACGAGTGTAAATTTTAACCCTCACACACGAGTCTCACTTGTAACCCTTACACACGAGTGTAAATTGTAACCCTCACATACTAGTGTAAATTTTAACCCTCACACACGAGTGTCACTTGTAACCCTCACACACGAGTGTAAATTGTAACCCTCACACACGAGTGTCACTTGTAGCCCTCACACACGAGTGTAAATTGTAACCCTCACATACGAGTGTCACTTGTAACCCTCACAGAACACACCAAGTTCTTAGCTTGACCCCCAGCCCTCGAATAATTAACGAGGGACGGTCAACCCGTCCCATCTGCCAACCCGGACATAAATCTTGGCTAATCCATCTTCTAGGCCCGGGGTGGAGAGAGTGGACAGGTCGGGGGGGGGGGGGGGGGGCTGACTTGTAGAGTGCTCTAAGATTCTAGCTGTGATTTCTATCGCAATTCCTGGTCAAATGATTTGGCCGGGGAATAGATTTACGGGCCCTTTTATTAGCGGCCTCTTGCATAGGGCCATAGGTTAAAAGGTTGGCGTGAGATCAAGGAGC